CGAAGGGCTGCAAGGGGGAGGTGGTGGTCGGCGCGTGGTTGACGACCTCGGCGATGAGGCTGCCGGCGTTGGACGGGGTCACGTTGTGGATGTAGGTGAAGGCGGGGAGGAGGAGGGTCGTCGTCGGTTCGGAGTAGTCGGCCGTGTTGTGCGGTGTCGGGATGTTGGATGCCGATAGCATCATCCTCTGTTTTCGGTTGGTCAGTTTCCAAGCGCCTCCCCCGCTCACGGGTTCACTCTCAACCTCGGGTGTGCAGGCGAAAGATATGGTTGAGGGGAGGGGGGGGATAACTCACCCCGTTTGTGGGTGAGGCCACCTTGGAGACGGCCTCCATCACGCTTCCCTTCTCGTCCGCCACGTCTCTGACCCAGTCGGTCTTGCCCGTGCCGACAAGCAGATGTGTGCTCCACGCCTTGACGTGCCCGTACAGGACATCGTCCTCGTTGATCTTGAAGCCCCGCGGGTACTTGACGCTGCAGCTGGCGCAATCGTGGAGGCATGCGTCGCCATCGATGGCCGGGTCGGTCTTGGCGAACAAGGCGCCCATCGGGGCCGGGCCGCCCTCGGAACCTGCGCCGCCGAAGACGGAGGAGACGATGGATTTCAGCGACAGCGCCATCTTCTGCTTGAGGGGGGGTTTCCGCGTCGGGGGAGGAGGGACTACGGGGTCTGTAGTCATGATGGAAAGAAGGAAGAAGAGGGAAGAAAAAAAAGACCGTAGTAGAGCGGCGACGGGGAGTGGGGAGCAGAGGAGCTCGCCCCAGGGCCAAGTGAAATCAGATTACTACGATTGGCAACGGATTCCCAACGCTGGACCGACGCTGTCCGAGTCGCTCGTGTGGAGTAAAGTGGATATAGCAGATGGAGTCCGGATCTGATAAAGGTCGGTCAGCGGCACTCGCCAGGTTGAGACTTCAGTCGGCAGCGGCAGGCAGAGAGGTCAGACAGCACAGGACTCGGTCGGCGGGTCAGTTGGGATGAGGCACGCCGTCTCGACGTTTTATAATTTTCCTGCAGCTTCTTTTTTCGTACTTTCCGGGGTCCAACCGCGTCATGGCCAATGGTCAGCTTCCTCCACCGCGTATCTCCGAGTCCTCAACGCAATCTGGGGCTCGGCCAATTCAATGATTCGAAAACCCCGGCGCCAAAGACGGCGATTAGACTTGCAAAGACGCAACACCCCTGTGTCTCTTTTTCTCCGCACTTTGTGTGGGGTGCCAATCGCTTCGTATCACTTGGTAGCTATCTCATTCTCCAATTTCCGCGCCGGCTAAGTCGGGTACAGCAACCACTTCATTACTAAATACGCACAATAGCATTATCGCCGTTGGTCTCCATATTCCATATCATAAGTCGTTACGACGGGCACAATGCCGTAAGATAGAGAGTAGTAATGAATTGGTTGGTATCGCAGAGAAAGAGGATGTGTTTGGGGAGAACAAATGGGGCATTATATACAAGATAGATTAACAGAAAAGGCCGTTCGCTCGACGTATCCCGGGAATGATTCGCTTCCCAAGATGAAGTAGCCCAGCATCCTAGCCGCGATTATAGGTTCTTCTTCCTTGCTTCGGCGTATTCCTCATTCTCGACTTCGCTCTCACTGTCTCCCTCTGCGCCAGCCTCCATCTTCACCTTGTCAGACTTCTTCCGGCGATCCTTCATTGCCTCTCTGAGTTTACGGCTAGCTTCGTTGAACCCTTCAGTGGAATCGAGCGCAGTAAATCCGCTAATATGGAAGCCGCTTGAATTGAAACCACCTCCACTGCTGTTGGACCGCGACCTGGACCGGGACGGTGGTCGTGTGGAGAAGAAGCCAACCTGTCCAATGTTGCTAAAGGAATCGTGACGGGGTAGCGCCCTGCTGGATGTCGTTGTGCTGCGCCGCAACAGCGAAGTTGTGGGAGGTGACTCTGGTTCTGCGCCAGCATTGCTTCCCTCGCTGTCTCGTCTTCTCCATCCTCCAAATGACGGATATGGTGAGAACGATGGCATTTGGGGTGTGAATGGCGAGAATGTTGAGGCAAACTGAGGCGAGGTGAAGGTTGACGGGGCGGGCGTTTCCGTTTTATATGGGTCTGGAACCAGGCGAACCTTTTCGAAGTCGGGATACATCTCCGGTCCCAGGGTGTTGATTAGGTCCGTCACCTCTGCGCTGAGCTCCTCCCTTCGGAGTCGCAGCTTTTGGATGCTGAAACCAGACCAGGGTGACAAGCAGAGAACCAGAGGACGGAGAGACTTGAAGATATCCATACCTACCTCACCAAAGCGCAGCGATGCGAATGTGATACCAATCATGAGTGGCCACACCGCAAAGTAGACAACCCAAAGAGGAACCCACTCAGGGACATGACCCCAGAAGCGGTCGTGCCAGACTTTAAGAGTGAGCAGGATGGAGTAGAAGTGATACAGGGCTGGCGCGAAGCCGCAAGCCACCAAAATCTTCCAAGTTGCCATGACATCTCGGCCTTGGATCTTGACCGTGGAGCCGGCCAGAGCGGCCTTCGCTTTTTTTATGGAAATGATCTTTGTGGCGACGAAGACGGGAGCGAAAAGCACAAGACCCGGTACCGTGCTGAAGAACAGCAAGATGAGTTTGAGTGAACGGTATATGGTGAGGAAAATGACCTGGAAGATGGACATATGGGCGTATTGGACCTGATGATCCTTCAAGTTGAGGTAGCGGAGCTGTGAATTGTAATCCTTGACATCCTTCACCAGCTTCTTGATGCGCTTATCCTCTTTGTATTTCTCGTAACCCATCGCCAACCTCCTGTTAAGCTCCACAACAATGGGGAGAGGAAGCTTTTTGCCGGTAGGGTTGTACAGCCGTCTGGTCGCCTGGATCAGCATCAGAGTATCATAGTCGGGCGCTGAAACAGTCACAGAGTTAAGAGCCTGATACACTGTATCAATGACATGGCCGATGGCTTCACGGCGCTGATTATTGCGATACTTTTCGACCACACGGGATGGGATCTCGAAGGGGGCTCCGAACTCGATGACGGCGCGCGATCGGAATTTGTGAGGGTGGAAGTAATTCATTCCCACAGGGACAATCTTGAGCCCGCAATTGGGATCTTCCGCCAATGTTCCAAGTGCCATGATGGCCACACCGGCCTTCAAGGGCAACAGGTCTGTGCGGTCATGGCTACCACCCTCTGGGAAGATGCCAACACATCCTCCACTTCTGAGGCGAGAAAAGACAGCTTCGTAAACCTTGGTCTGGTCGGTGTGGGGAGCAAGCTTGAACTTGGTACCCTCGTAGCCCGGCGCAGAACCGTTCACGTCCTTCTTGGTAAAGTTGCCTTCTGCGTCAATGTCGTCGCGGCCCGTAAGCTGGAACAATGCGAGCTTGCCCTTGAAAGGTCGCTTCACGCGGATCTCCTCGGGGCTAATGATCTCAGCAATATCGACACTCGCGCCAGTCTGGCCTTTGGCCGGAGGAAGAAAGACCATGCCCTGGAGCTCGCCCTCGCCTGCGCCAAACTTGGTGCCAATACCTCGCACTAGGGTCGGGTCGTTAATGGGGTCGGGGAGGTAAATCTTTCCCGTGGCAGGCTTGGCGGCATCCTGAGCGCGTCCAACGGGGACAGAACCGACCTGGCGGGATCCCCAGCCAATAAATCCATGGACCGACTTTTGGGCAATGAGAAGAGAGACTCGGCGGCCTGCTTCGTGCTTCAAGGTTCGCTGGAGGAGAAGGGCGTCGACGAACTGCACCGGGGACAGATTAGCAAAGGGAGAGGCGCAAGAAAAAGAGGATGCGACAGCGCAAAGAGGGCAGCGCCGTCAGAGTCAACCGCTATAACTCACCTGGTTTGCATGCGGAGCTGCCACAAATAGGACAGGCCCCGACCGAGGGACTCGCCATGAGCCTCGAGGAACAACTTCCCTGAAGAAAGTGTCGACGAGGTTGCCCATGACGTAGAGGAAAAGATCATATGTCCAGTTGTTCATTGGATAGAGCTCCTTGTGCGGGGTAGGAGTGGCCTGCTCCTGGGGCGGCTCAGTCGCCTTCTCGGGGGCCTGGGAGGCCATGGCGAAGGTCGGATATCGAGGGACTACCTAGACAGATGGTTTGTGGTTGTCGCTGGTTCGAGTCCAAGTTGGAGCTGGGTCTGGGAGAGCAGAGACCAAGCAGGACGGGTTGCAGAAGCAAACTGACGAGGGTTTGCGGAGGGAGACAGGGGAGTTATGTAATTGGATAGGTACCTAACGACAGCCGCCACCCATACCTTAAACTTGGCTCTTGAGACTTCGGCTGGCTGGAGTCGACTGGGGTTCGAGGGAGGGCCTAACTCACTGTAGTCAAGGGAGGACGAAAAACTGGGCATATGGTGGTGTATGCGGCCCATACCGGCCTAGAGGCCAGATGGATCATGGAGGAGGAGGCTCAAGCTTTGCTGCCTCTGGCGCCTTCTGTGTAGCACGTAGCGCGTCCAAGCAGGAGCTAAGTTCCCTTCAGGCCCACCTGGAACCGTCTGTCCGAGCACCGTCCGAGCGCTGAGACCGCGGAAAGTCACTGGACATACCGTAGCTTGGCTCCATCTGCAGAGGCAGTTCCAGCTGCATGTAGCTCCCCCATCTGCACTCCAGCTCGCTAACTGAGACCTAACATTTAGTAGCCTTACTTTGCACACATAATCATCTGCATGTCAGGCCTTGCAGCCTCTCCAATGCTACGCTGATACGCTGCCGCCCGTCAACCGCCAGCTAGAACCAAGCTCTCCAGACATGGAAGGTGGACACACCCGTCAGCACCTCACCCAAATGACTTGCAGGCTGTGCAAGTGGATTGGTGATCTCGGGCCATCCCTATAATACGAAATTTTTCCTGTCTGTCTCTCCAATTCACACGTGATAATGGATTCGACTCGCAACACGCCCCAGTGAACGGCCAAGGGCCCAGATGAGGAATCTCCCTTGGCCTGGCCCATGCGCCCTTCATTCCCCGTTCCAGGTAGGGCGCTTTTCAAATATAGCTGCCCGGCCATGGATGCTATGGAACAGGATCATATAATGGTAATAGGCGCCAACAGCCGGCACAGGAAACCGCCAAGAGCAAGCGTGAGCATCTGAGGTGCGTCTTCTTCATGCGCGCGCCGCTACCATCACACCTGCTGCCTGATCTGGCTGGTCTCTGGCGGAAAACTTACTCCTCCCACTGCGTGAGCTCAACAAAACTCTGCCCAGGATCCAATCGGCCGCCAGATCCCACCTCCTCCTCCTTCTCCAAAAGCTAGTTGGGTTGGGGGCGAGAACACTGGTCGGGCATTTACTAGTCACAAGCTTTTGTTGGTCTAGGCACACCCGGACGCTGACCTATTGAACTGCTTTAGTGGCAAGTTCGAGATGGTGATCCAGAACCACTTTTCACCACATCCCACCATCCCCTCGTCATCCCTGCACACCAGAACGCGGTACGTACATTCCTATGTATATGTGCGAATAGCTATTGCAAGATTGCGCCAAGGGCAGGATTGTCAGAGGTGTCACAGTAATCTTGCTCTCAACCGCGGGCGTGCGCCCTGATACATGGCGCTGGACCCTCCACGGGTGCCATGAGCGTCAGGAGACTTTCCACTTGTTCTCGCACCCAACTCTTCGCTCCCAAGAATCATCAACGAGCACCAGGCCCGGGTCTCCCGTCTTCTCCCAATTTGTGGAGATGTTCCGGGGTCGCACGGGTAGCTTCCCGGACGTACCCACAGAACCATTGATCGTGTTCGCCTGGGGCCGGCAAGAGGGTGAAATAAAACATGGCACACCAACGCTCTTTTCGCGTAAGGCAGGGACCTCGTTTTCAAGTAAACACAATAATAAGAGAATAATAAATTATTCTATGTAATTTAGCTTGATATTGTATTCGGTAGTAGATTAATTATTTTGATATTGCGTTGAAATGTAACGCTGAACTATCTCGATGTGCCATGTTTTATTTCATCCACTTGGCCGGGTAGACAGCAGAGCTGGGTGTGAGATGTTGTATGCGTATTACCTGCCCTGATGGCTCACGTTTGCGCATTCCCTTGATGAGCATCCCGATCCCGGTAAATCCTCTCAAGCAAGTGGCATGTTTTGGCAGTGTGATACTGCCACCCTGTCACCGCGAGAAGCCACATCAGGGTGCCTTTGTTATCAGACTGACACCCTCGCATTCCCTAAGGGTTGCATGTTTATCTAGCAGGACGGTACTGAGAAATCGCCTACACGGAGCTTATTCGGCTAGTTGCGGTAGAGGGCTCCGGTCCTCCATTTATTTCCACCTGACCGGGACATATTGGAAGAGTCACCATTGGTTTACTTGAGACGGAGATTCAAGGAGCGACAAATCCGGTAATCAATATAACCCCTTATGTCGTGAGAAAAATGAAATATGTCTACAAAATCACGCAGGCTTCAATAAAAGGCTCGCCCCTACGTGCTTCCACGTGGAGATGTCTCCGCTCGCGTAGCATCACGAGTGGCTTGCCTGGAAGAGCCTTGTTTTCCGCCCCGGATACTGGCCCTCCCCAGAAAATCTTGCCTATAGCTATTCCCCATTCAACATGCCTATCAACGTGGGGATCAATGCGGGAAGCCTTCTCTCGTGGGTTTAGACACTGCAGAGATTACTTATGCATGGCAAGTACCAAATCGCGGCATATCTTAAAGGTAGACCGGGAGTGTGCGTATCCGTGATACAGTTCCTATTCGCTAGAGTACATCTCCCCAGGAAATATATTGGTCAAAATAACCAAGGCATGCAAGATTCGTTATCTCTCTCCATGTCCTTCGGACAATATCACAATATCCCGCACCTCTTAGCATACTAGGATCCTTCCGTGGGCTTTATCTTGCATGCAATTGGCCAGGCTATCACAATAATGGTGCTGTCTCATGCATGAAGTCGCCATCAGCCATGGCACATGCATCTCCTTCAATAGTAACTCCCCACTTCCGGCTTGGTATTCAGTCTCCCCAAATGCAGATATTTCCCAAGCCAGAGGCAGGGACAAAACACGGGAGAGATCCTTCTTTCCTGTCCGTACCCCCTCAACCCGAGACATACTGACCTTGTCCAACTTGTCCGACCCAAGCACTAACTCAACAAAATGAAGACTTATATCCCGATTCCCAACTTTTCCACGCCTCCTCCGGCTGATGGACCTCTGGATCTGGGCCATATCCTCCATGACCTGACCTACTCCAGCATCGCCGCGCCTCTAAACAAGGAGGGCCATGTTGCCATCCCCGACCGCCTCCAGCCGGACAAGAAGGAGGGGTTCAACCTCAGTCGCAAGGAACTGCTAAGCGGAGAGTTCGGTATCTTCGCCAAGTTCCTTGCCATGTTCGGAGTTGGCGCCGAGGCCCCGTCGTCTTACAGGAAGAGCGCTGACGATATCCTGACGGTCGACGCCCTCGAGACCATCACCTTTTCGCCGCAGAGAGAGTATATAGAGAAGAGCATGAGCGACCACAGGGTCAAGTCGCGGATGATGGCGTGCCAGTATAGGGAGCCCGTCTTCATGGTGACAGGGATGAAGATGGCACGTGGAGCCTCGCTGCAGAGCGACCTGCACGAGGTGGACGGGAAGTCGCCGTTCGGCTTCTGCAGCCCCCAGGGGGCTTGGGACCTCGACATACCCTTCGTTGGTGGCGGTGGTGCAGGGAATCACGCAGGAAAGTCCCTTGACAGTTCAACCGACTTCATCCTCGCCCTCAGGCTCAAGAAGATCTTCTACAGGGAGGGCAAAATGCTGACGAAAGAGTACCACAAGGTAGCCACCATCATGGATCATATCACTGGCGAGATGTACAGCGCCGAGTTAGAGTCCAGTGATGATGATGTTGGACTGCAGGATGTGCCCTTTGGCAAGGACATGGTCCTGGCCGGGGGTAATACTCACGATGAGGACGAGCTTTGCTACCTCGCGTTTCCTAAAGGCGTCTAGACGCTTGTATTCCGCTTATTTCTTCTGTTTTTCTTTTGTCTTCGTTTGTTTTAACACCGAGATGGGAAACATACTTCAGCGAGATGCATCTTCGTACGAGTTCCCGAGAATTCCCATGCCAGACTGACAACGATTCATGCATGCCACATAACCAGTAAGAATCCCAGTTATCACGAGATGAACACCATGTAGCTCCAACACGACTTTCAATAGTTTTACTTTATTAGTCCCCCCGCCAAAAAATAAGCGTCAGCGAAACGTTTCCAACTAGTTAGGCTGCCACAGAATAAATATACCAACTTCCTCAAGGCGAGGTGTACTTGTACCCATACTTCTCCTTCGCACCATCAACCAGCTTCTTCACCTCCGCCTCGGCCTCCACAGCCGCGGGGTCCAGCTCCTTGAGCAGCGACGTCCTGAAGGGCGCAGGCAGCGCCAGCCCGCGCCTCACGGCCGGGCGGTCGGTGCAGCGCCCGAACCACGCCTTGACGTTGGGGAACTGGCTCAGGTCGAGGGCCGCGTTGCGCGAGTTATCCACCCAGCCGAGCAGAGCGATATCTGCGATGCTGAACTTGCCGCGTGAGGGCCCCACGACGAAGTCGCGGTCGGCGAGGCGGGCGTCCAGCACGCCGTAGAGGCGCTCCGACTCGCCCACGTAGCGCTGGATGCCGTAGGGGATCTTCTCCGGGGCGTAGCGCACGAAGTGGTTCGCCTGGCCCTGCCTGTGGTTGTGGGAGAGTACGTTAGACGCTGTATCATAGAGAGAGGAGGTCAAGACTCATTTGGGGTGCGCATACATCGGTCCCAGACCGCCGTGCTGCCAGCCGATCCAGGCCTCTGCGCGGGTGTAGTCGTCATCGTCTACCGCGAAGGAGAAGCGGTTCTCTGTGTCATAGCGGCGGGAGAGGTATCCGAGGATGGCGTTGCCCTCGAACACTGCCAGTCCGCCGTTGTCGTGGTCGACGATGGCGGGGATCCGGCCGTTGGGGTTCACGGCGATGAACCAGGGCTCCTTCTGGATGTTCAGGCCGATGTTGATGTTCTGGGAGGTGTACTCCAGGCCATAGGCGTCCTTGAGCTCCTCGAGCAGGATGGTCGCCTTGAAGCCGTTGGGGGTGGGGCAGGTGAGCAGCTCGATGCCCTTCGTTGCGATGAGGCCGGTTGGTCGCGCCATGATGATGATGATGAGTTTCACTACGGGCTGGTTTACTCAGGTGCTCCCTCGATTGGCCGAATTGTTTGTGTAGTTGGTTCCGGTCGTCATTCTCGCTCGCGCGACCCCCGTCGTCAATAAATAAACGTTGACCCCTCCCCCGCCTCTGTTTGATTTCAAAGCATCGGCGTGGGGAAGATACGAGCAATCCTGGTAGGACTTCGAATCACACCAATTACGTTATTGATGCGTCTCAAGGATGCACTCCACAACAAACGTACAACACCCTGGTGGAAGTACAAGCATTACGAACATGACCAAGTTTTGGATGTCTGTCTGTTTACTTAGACGGAAGCTCAGGTTAACGGTCAAGTTATAGAACAATCGCTCATGGTGATCTAGTATCTATCATGTTCTCTCAAGCATGTTCCATGGCTGCGTAATGTTATATAACCAGAACACTCATCATCTCTTTCCTCTTCGCCTTCCTTTCTTCTCGGGAACACTCGCCGTGCCACCTTCTATCTCCCCTTCGCCTAACTGTCCCTCAGTCTCCATCTCTTTCAACTTCTCCTGTCCAGAGATGAACATAGACAAATCCCTGTTCATCTCCTTGAGCTCTTCATTTTCCACCTTGAGCTCTTCCATCTGCTTCCGCACTGCTTCGTTATCCGTACTCAGGTGCTCGATACGCTTCATCAACCCCTCATTCAGTCGCTTCTCCTCCTGTGTCGACTTTCCTAAATTGCGGGCCAGCTCCTGACTCTTGGCAGCGCGCTTCTTCTCCCTCTCGATATCTCTCTCCAGTTGGGGGATCGTCTCCTTAGTCAACGTATCATACTTCTCACTGAGCAGCGAGAGCTTTTGTGTGGCCTGCGAAGCTTCGGCAGCGGCAGCCTCGGCTGTAGCAGTTGCCTTGGAAGCCTTGTCTACAACCTTTTTGATCATTTCTTCGTAGTAGGCCCGTTGTGATTCTAGTTGGCTGGTAATGAGGTGGGTGTACTCGAGGCCGATGCTCTCCAGCTTGGCACGCGGCACGACATCCTCATCCTCTAGTCGCTGCTGGTCCCGGTGGTCATGGTGGCTACGGCCTGGAAGCTCGACGACTTTACCATCTCCTTTGTCCCGTATCAGCCGGTGCACCCACATATCGCCCGCGTAATCCCACACATGCTGAGTCTCCAGCTCGAGCGAAAAACTGTGAGCCGTTTCTTTCCAGTGATCCTTGGCGTGACCGCCCTTGTAACGGCCGCAGCCTACATGGCCACAGATGAGGCATATCCACAGATCATCGGTAGAATCGCATATACTGCATAAGTTGGACACGGATGTTCCGAACGGTTGAGTGTATGGGTCCGCAGGATCGTATGCCCCGCTCTGCGAGGCATTCGTGAACCGACAGACAGGGCAGCCAGCGCCCTTCCAATTCTGTAAGCAAGTGCAGTGGAAAACGTGGGAGCACGGGATTGTCATCAACCCGTTGGTCTCATCCATCCTTTCCAAACAAACCGGGCATGTTGGCAGTTCAATAAGATCGGGTGTAGGTGGGGGAAACGGCTTTAGAGTATTCGAAACTGAAGAGGAGGAGGCCGCAACGGGAATATCGATCGTTGGTTGCGTCGGTTTTCTGAAGGTTATCTTTCTCACGAACACAATATGGCATGTCTGAGGCTATTCCGTAGTTGTTAGCAGAGTCTATAGGCCCCAGGATGTCAACTCGCACTCACTTCCATGGTATTGAAGACTCTTCCATCAAACTCCTTCTTCCAAAGCTTTGCTCTTTCGTTATCTCGGAACTTTAACAACGCCAAGTATCTATTCATCCTGGAGGTCATCACCAGGCGACAGTGCCCGATATCAGCTTTCCACTTCTCGCCGATGAAGCCCAGAAAGTCGCTCGGCGACATGTACGCGGGAACAGCAGGTATACAGAGCGTGGTGCAGTCCTCGCCAGCCTGCTGCCCCGAAACACCATCGCCCGGCGCATTCTCATCCTGAAGCAGGTCCAGGGAAGGAGACTCCTCGCCCTCGCGATAGAAGTGCACCACGCCCCAGCCCAGCTCCGTGTTCTTCGTATTGAGTGGGAGGCATTCTGCCTTATTCGTCGTCCCGGCGCCCCTCAGAGTCGGACCAAGCGAGGGCGCAGCAGAGGGGCCGGCTCTGCTCGCCTCCCCAGACTCCATGCTCACCAGATCGACCGTCTCGACGCTCACTCGCCCAAACCGCCAGTCTCTAATCGCAGTCTGGGGCCCGAGTGCCGCTGCGGCAGAAGGTGGTGGTGGGGAGCTTGGGAGCCCTCCGGGCCACTGTCGCTCTGTGTATCGTTCGAATTTCCGCCCGTTTTCTTTGTCGGGCGCACGCGGCGTGCCGCAGTCTATGGCGCTGGGGTCTAGAGACGACCCTCCAGCGCTTCTCCCTGATATCGACGTCTGCGCGAGTCCGTGCCAGCTGTTCAAGGGCGGAAGGATGGGCTGGGCCTTCTTCTTGTGTTCCACTGGCCGAGGATGCGACGGGAGCTCCTGGAACAGGTCGGATTCTTCGGTCGGCAGCCAGATATTCCTCGTAGATCCGATGGCGAAGGGTTTCTCAATATTTGGTGTCGGCGTAGGGTACAACTCGAATGTCAAGTGGTAGAAGTAGGAAGGCATAGCCTGGATTTGAGCCCCCGAGGCTGTCGCATACGTTAAAAATCGCTGGTGAAGGGCTGGAAGGTGAAATCAGGTACGAGTAAATCAAGTTGGTATTGATACATCAGGGCTTCGAGACTGAACCTTCTAGGTGTTCCAAAACCCATTGCGTAAAGCGCCAGCTAGGTTTTCCTCGAAATTTGCGGCGGGTCAAGATGCATATCACATGGAAGAGTTACTGTGTTAATAGCGTATGACGCCGGAAGGCTACAACGGGTCCGCAGCGGGTCACAACCCCACCATACAATAGCTCCCCAGATTCCAGGATAAAGTCCATGGAGGCATCGAGAACGGTTGATACAACTTACGAAGACGGGTTTTCAGCACACATGCTTACATATTCATTACAGAATCACGTGGGATACAATATTTTAGACGCAAAATGGTCTTCTATTGATGGTTGCCCAAGTCTGGCTACCAAATTGACTAAGCTGTGCCGCTCATATCATCATAATGAGTTTCGGCGAGAATGATATTCGTGATTAATTCCCAAACGCCCAAATACCGCTTTGATCCACCAACGTTTCACCGCAAGCTAAATCAACCCGACACTTACTGGCCGCCACGGAGACGGAGAACCAGGTGAAGGGTGGACTCCTTCTGAATGTTGTAGTCAGAAAGGGTACGGCCGTCTTCAAGCTGCTTTCCAGCGAAGATGAGACGCTGCTGGTCAGGAGGGATACCCTCCTTATCCTGGATCTTCGACTTCACATTGTCAATCGTGTCCGATGACTCGACTTCCAGTGTGATAGTCTTTCCGGTGAGTGTCTTGACGAAAATCTGCATACCACCACGCAGACGGAGCACCAAGTGGAGGGTGGATTCCTTCTGGATGTTGTAGTCGGAGAGGGTGCGGCCATCCTCAAGCTGCTTGCCAGCAAAGATCAGGCGCTGTTGGTCGGGAGGAATACCCTCCTTGTCCTGAATCTTCGACTTAACGTTGTCGATGGTGTCAGAAGATTCGACCTCGAGGGTGATGGTCTTGCCGGTGAGGGTCTTGACGACTGGAGAATGATGGTTAGAGGTCTGGATGGCCGAGGACGAGCGGAGTAGTTTACTTACAGATTTGCATACCACCACGAAGGCGGAGGACCAGGTGGAGGGTAGACTCCTTCTGGATGTTGTAGTCGGAGAGGGTGCGGCCATCCTCAAGCTGCTTACCAGCGAAAATCAGGCGCTGTTGGTCAGGAGGAATTCCCTCCTTGTCCTGAATCTTCGACTTGACATTGTCGATGGTATCAGAAGACTCGACCTCAAGAGTGATGGTCTTGCCGGTGAGGGTCTTGACGAAAATCTGCATGACGTCGGTTGCTTGATAGATTCACGGAAGGTAGTGTGAAGAGGATGTGGAAGTATGCGAGCACAACAACAAGTGCGAGAAGATGGGTTGTTATGGGAGTGAAGGTGTGAAGGAGAGAAATTGCGAGAGGGGATGCAGAGGGTGGGAGGGTTTAAGTATGTTCACGGGTTGATTGGGGAGGAGGGGAGGCCAGCCAACACGGAAGGAGGGAGGCGCAGTGACTTGATTGCTCGCGCCTTCCGAACAAGCATGACCAGTCGAGACTCAGGTTAGCCAATCAAGCTGAACATGCCCGAATGATCCAGAAAGCGGAGGTGGGCCTCTAAGTACATAGTACTTGCCACAATGAGCTTCGCGGTGGGTGTTCAAAGTTGCGGGTACAATGTCTTATCTGCGTGTGGGTACCAGCAGCCTTGAGGTGGGCCTAGATTGATGTCAGATGCGAACGGATGACACTCTCCAAGCTTCAAAGCTCGCCATGCATCCTTCCACCAATGCCTAGATATGTAGTGAAAGTCGTGCGTAGGAAAACAGTGATTCTTTGAGTCTGACCCAGAACACTTGGAAGACGTAGGTACCCTCTACATGGGATCCAGAAGGCTGTGGCGGAAAGAGCAACAGCCACACAGCTTACCAAGCGCCAGGTGTTGCTACACGCGGCAGCGGCCAACCGGCGGTGACTCAGCCCCATGAACCTCCGCCGGCTGCACCCATCCCATAGGCACCAAGAGGCCAGTATTGAAACCCGGACACTGCGCATTGCACAAACGGACAAAGGAAGATCCAAAACACCTGGGCGGTTGCCTACCTATGGACGGCCCCTCCCGGTTCTCGTGCATTCTCGCGCCCAGCCGCTACCTGCCCAGGCACCTGTCTGGCTCAATCCCAAGCCAAGGACAGATTGCGGGGTGTCTAAAGCCGTCCGTGCCTTGGTCAAAGCCCACTCCGGGTGGTGGCGACGTCATAATGGCTGATTGTTGCTCATCCGCAGCTTATCAAGCTTGTTTTCAGCATCGTTCCAGGAAATGCCATCCATGCGGACGGAAATCGCCAATTTCAGGTACAATCTGATAAGCCTGTCAAAACTGCATGGCAATGAATTCGGCATGTCTCGTAGCCACGGACTTCCCGTTCCCGTGACGTTCGGACCTCGCATTTGCGGCTGAGCGCATTGTAAGGAATTTTCCTAGCTCCCTTCCTTTCTTTCCGTTCGGTGTAGCAACAACCACTCTTTCTATCATTTCCTGAAAGGGCTGTGTTTCCATTTTGCTACAGCATATTTAGGTAGATGACAAAGCTCAGATTGGTTATATGACACAAACCTAATCTCCCGTCGGCAGCTTAGCCCCAAAAATCACACAGCTGAAGAGGCAGAGCCTCACGCTGATCATCAACATTGATCGGCAGTGGGATTTCCTGCTTTCCTAGCAAAATGAACAGACGTTGAGGCACATTCACTAATGGACTGACATGCACTTTAGCACTCCAAGTCAGAGAAGCTCCTTGCGTACGGGGATTCTGCATGTTGTGAAGTTTTTTTTTGGCCGAACGTCGGGCATCGTCGGACCACGTAAATGCATACGCAATGCACTACTACACACCATGAGCCCCAGAGTCGCCTCATCAACGAATGAATTGGCCGCTTTGCCACCCTTCAGTATGCTACTGTTACCATCATTTTGGCACGGCCTAGTAATGGCAGTAGACACCCGGATGATGGGACTTATGAAACCATACTAGGACGTAAGTGTGCAATGACTTGCTGGCAGTCTACACCGCTTCATGCTGATGGCGAGAGGCGTTGGTTGTGGACTGACTCGCTGATTAGTCGGTCAGCCAAGGATCGGAAGATACAGTCAGGAAAAGCGGGAGGAAAGAAAGTCGTGGAAGCAATCTGGTTTCCCATCTCTTAGTTTATTGAGGGAGTGTAAAATTTTTAGAAGCGTAACTAAAGTTAAGCTACTCAATCGGCTATCTTGCAACTATCGTCTCTCCGTATCCCATCATCTTCATGTAAAGGCTCGGAACGCCAATCCTTGCTAGTCCATCTAAACCATCTGCTTGCAATGTCTGTCATTTTCGTAATGCCATATCGTAAATCATGTTCCCGTCAGAACGTGAAACAGTCTTCGCTCGTCCACTCCAAGATCTTCGTAAACTCGGAACATTTTTGTTCGCAAAATAAAAAAAAAAGTTTCAAAAGTCCTCTGTAAGTCATACATCCATGAGAAGTCATAAAAAGTCATTGTTCCGTCTGCTCTTCCCTGCTCTTCAAAGGTCGGTGACCAGCCGCAATCGAAGAGGGAGGTTTATCCAGAAAGCAAGACAATCGCTAAGGTGTCGTGTGTATCAACGCCCGCGCTAGGGCGAATGGCAATGGCTGAGAAAAAAGTAAGGAAATAAAAACACAAAAAAATCGCTCCAAACAAAGGAAATATGTGGCTCTCGTAGCTGAAGAAAAGAGTACCACTTTATATCAGTAATTAAGAGATATAATCAGAAGAAGGGTTTAGCTAGCCCGGATAACAAGCTTGGAAACGAATTTGTTTGAGAGTGAGTCAAAATCGTAACGATCAAACTTGGTCTCTTTTCGGGTTCGAAGGTAAGCCTCTGCATGAGCAGTTAGCAATCTATTCACAATTTGTTTACGCAAGACAATTCTACTTACCATGCTTCTTGACATGATCTCTCACTTCAGTCATAGCCTCACAAACAGATTTGTTGTTGTGAAGAATGTGTCCATGCTTTTGGGTGTCCCATTCAGTGAAGATGGGCAGCTTCACAGAAATGGCATGGAAAAGCCCCACAATCACGCCAACAGGTGTTGACTCCATATCGTGGCAGAACTTGTTGATCGCGGCGGGGTCGGTGGTACGGTAGTGGCAGTCAAACTGCATCTCTTCCCAGACAGCGAGCAAGATGGATGCCAGCATGAAGATAGTGGGCCAGTTCTTCATCTTGTCACCACTGTAGACACCGGAGTAGAGCGAGGACAGCTCCTCCAGGACGTCCTTCTGGAGTTCACGCCACATGTCAGCCAGAGCACACTTGATCTGGAAGTTGACCATGACGGGAGCAACGGTTCGGCCGTAGTACTTGGAGTCCTCGTCATCGATCTGGCCATCCAGCTCAGCCTCGGCGCCTTGGTTCTCAACCATGGTAAGATGCATGGTCAGGTTGTAGGCCAGGACAAGCTTGAGAGCCTTGCGAATGACTGGCATCTTCTCCTTGACGTAGAAGCGGTGAGCAGTCTTGAGAATCTCGGTAATGAACGGTGTGCCCTCAAAGTGGTCATCGATGAACTCCTCAAAGGGGCCATCAATGTGCTTGTCGAGGTACTCGGAGAGTGCGTTTAGGTTGATGCCTTCAAGTCCGACGTCAAGCTTCTCGGTGCGGGTCTCAAAGTCGATGGGCTCCTGGTCGCTCAAGTAAGACTCGACCCAGTCGACGTTGAAGCAGCTCTCGTCGACGACGTAGACCTGACGGACCATGACGGGAAGAGCATAGCCGTAGCCGTGTGTGATCCACATGAGCGTTTCCTTCTGGGCGAAGCCCTTGACATTGCAGACGGAAACGCCTCGGTCCATGTGTCTCTCGTAGTCGGCCTTCCAGTCCTTCATGAAGTAGCCGATGTCCTTGATATCGATACGAGTGCAAGGAACCTGCCACAGACGAGCATGGGATGGCTGGCACCCAGCACAAGGCTCACCCTTGTCGCAGGTCTTCTTCAAAAATTTGCATCGCAGGCAAGCTCTCAGCTTTCTTATCTCGCTGGCTTGCTTTCGCTGCTCTGGCAGAAGAGGACCCTTTCTCCTTCCAACCTTCTTCTCGACAGCACCATCCTTCTTGCCGTTGGAAGTACGACGAACGACAGACTTGGTCGTAGACTTGCTGATGGGGCTCTTGCGGGGACCCGAGTTTCTGCGAGGGCCGGTGGTGGATGGTGGGGACGATGAGCCGGCACCACTTCCTGGGGCGTGACGGCTCGAGACCGGCTCAGTCTTGATAACCACAGAGGGAGCAGGGTTGGCCGGAGGGCTCACAGACTCGTGGGTGTGGTGGTGATGGCCATCGGCCGAATAGCAGTTGCGATGGTTGTGGCTATCAGTGCCATCAGAGTCGTTGGAGAATGGAGAATATGGGAATGGCGGGATCTCCTCAAAGCTACCGAATTCCATCGAGTTGGCGCCGTCCGACGAGTCCGAGTTGGTTCTCAAGTGCAAGGTCTGCGATGGGTTGAAGATGGCCGCACCTTGAGTATGTGTAGGATACTGCTCGAGGCCGTGATGAGTCCAATCCACCATTGTCCAACCATCGCCAGAAGACGAAGGCAGTGAAAGGACTTCGAGGTAGGTGCCCGTAGGCGAGTTGCTACCAACGCTACCCAAACGAGGCAATCCGTCCACTTGCAGAGTGTTCTGGAAATCGTTCCAGTTATCCATACCCGGGTTAGCCCATTGCAGTGCCTGGGCCTCCTCTAAAGAAGGAATGGCAGCGAACGGCGACTCAAGCAAGTTTGCCTGGAGGGCGGCCTGCGTGGTTGGGGGAATGTACTCGAGAGGGTTCGTCGAGAAGTTGGGGAATGCGTTGAAGCCCATCAATGTTGGATCCTGGATGAACTGCGACAGGTCGGCGGCAGGCAAATGCTGCTGGGCCTGCTGTTGTCGTTGATGGGCCGAGATTGCTGCGGCGGCCGCTTGCTGTTGCTGCTGCTGCTGGAGAGCCCAATCTGTCAACGGATTCGCTGCTGCCTGGAACGGCGAGTGCTGGAGTGACGAGTGCTGGCTGTGAGGGCTCGAACTTGACGAGAGCGGCGAGTTTGCTTGGTGGTCCTCTGGCGAACTCGGGGCTGCAATAGCCTGTGGGTTATTCATGTCGAGGGCCATAGGCCAGTTTCGATTGGCAGCCATTGCTGTTGAAACGATTGGAATGATGTGCGAGTTGGGGGCTGCAGAGTAAGGAAATGGCGGAGTCAGTCGATTTGCCTGGCGAGCTCTCTGGACCCTATTCTGATCGTGGCTCTGGGGATCTTGGGTCTGGTCGTAGGTGAAGTCAATGTAAGATCCTCCCCCCACGGTGTTTAGGTTGAATTCGAGGGTCATGCTGGGCAGGAAAAGGAGAACCGCCCAGAGAGCTAGATGTGAAGTAGTCGAGTATTGTATGAGGCAAATGGGAGACACCGCCTTTTCCGTGAGCTCCCTATGTGGCCAAGTGTAGGGAGCAGGAGGAGGAAGTCAGGGTTATTGGAGGCAGAGGAGATGTCAACGGGGGAAGGCCTTGGGGACTTGGAGAGGGGGCCGGGACGTGAGCAACAAGCGGTGAAGGCAGGTTGGGTCCAGCCCCAGCCGGGAGCTGCAGCCAATGGTGGCCGCCAAGCATGCACGGTGGTGGGCTCGTCCTGAAGAGAGCTCACTGGGCGCTATGCGACAGTGCGAACACTGGGTCTTGCTAACGGTAGCCAGATGGAGGAAATACCCGCCACTAACCCTCCCGGGCTGTTTGCCTCTCCCCACCACCGCTACCACTGCGCAGTATTAGAGCCAGTTGAATCTCCGTAGAATGTGCAGCTACGAGTCCCAACGCAGATCTATGGCGCCTCGATGCCGAGCTGGAGAGAAGTCAGGCAATCAGGGTCGCTCTGATCAGCAGAGGGAGAGACGCGCCGTCGTCCTGGCTCGCAGGGTGCTTCCTGAAAGTGCCGAGTCCTTAGACAAATACAGGGCGGGACGAGCCCACCTCGGCCAATCACGACACTCCAAAACGCTCGCCAGCAGTACAACCGAAGGGACTAACCTACCTGCATCGCTAGCCTGATCATCGTGAGATTGACTGGTTATTTCGAGTGCTTAGGCTCGATCCAAGGCTTCCAGTTCCGAGTACCTCGATACCTCGTGCTAGTAGCCTACGGGGCCAACTGAACCTGAGCCTGGCCGGCTCGCCGTAGCACCGGCCTCTCAACAAATAGTGTCTCCTGCTGCGAGCCGCCCACCGGCCGGGCTCCAACCTCCATGTCATCGCCACATCCAGAGCACGAACTCAGGAGACACAACAGGAGATAGAGGCGTAGAAGGCAAACTGCATGTTACCGCGCTCCAGTACTGTGCTGTTAGTGTTCAGCGGTAATGCAGCGGGTATGGCAACAGATGGGGCCGCCTGCATCCTCAGTGGCAGGAAGCGCTTCAGGTTGCTGCAGGACAGGCCCATCGTGGATCATAGGGTACTAAGCTACGAGGGGTCAAGTTTCAACAAAAAAACCACCGGCCCATCTTACGTTCGACCCCGGTTGAGAAGATCTTAGTCCGAGTGTCCCCCATGGATGATGATATGTTTATCATTATCTACATGCAGCATGTCGGAGGGACCGTGTGTCGAGTGTGAGTGAGTGCATCTGGGTGTGTGTGCGAATGTATAGACAAGCAAGCAAATGATGTCAAGGCGAGGTCAGCAGGATGCAACCCCAACTCGGAAACTGAGCTCGGCTGATCTGGCCGCGTCCGTTCACCCAGTTCTCGCTGGTCAGAAAAAGCCCCATTTCCAACCACCTCCGCAGGACGCACGAACCTACAGCTCCACACAGATTGAAGAGCTCAATCAATGCTCAGAGTCTCGACAGGGAACCACTGTTGAGCTTGTCGTATCAGCGCTCTGTCCTCACTGTTGCGTCCGATTTCTCGCATATCATTTACAGCATGCGTAGGCTCAGCGTGCGTGTGTCAGTGAGCTATCATTAACGCATTGAGAACCAGCGGCTCTGCCCAATCATGAGATGCTTCCCCCCGATATGGTGCCACCATCTGTCGTCCCAATGGCGAATGTCCCGCAAAAGAGATGAGCAAACTTCCCCTCTTTCCTCACTCGCGGCCAAGAATCCTCTCGAGCGTACAGCATTCAGGTAAAATGGCCCATGCGCATGGCTACATATCAGGTCTCGGTTTGAGGATTCACGTTGATGGTCACGAATGCACTCACGGCCACTCATCTTGCGTGCCATCCGGCAATGGATGCTTAGCTGACATGGGCATGCTTTCCTGGCGCACACACACCATGACCCCCCGTCCAACCACCTTTCAAGAAAATCCCATGTCACCTACAACGTAGGCTGGCCCATTCTCACGACCTCCACATGATCCCGAGCGGCGCAACCGTGATTGGCCCTCCGCTGCGAGCTACCTACCTCTCTAGCCAGCGCATACTTGCTCCAAATGTTACGCTGCTGCTCTGCCTGAGGTGTTTTTGTCTCCACGGTTGCATTCTGCCACTGATCATTGTCCGAATCTGATCGTGCTCTGCTGTATGTCATGTAGCTGCCTGCTTTCGTACAAGAACGACCCGGGGCCGACGGCTGCAAGAAGGGACGTGGCATGGATGGTGCCAGGCCGGTCCGGTCAATCCCTCCCATTCCCGCCCGTTGTGATAAGCTCAGTTCCAGCCACCATGTCCGCCGACAGTACAGAGGACTTTGGCGGGAGTGCACTGTGCTTAGGGGACGTTGTGCGCTGGTACAAGGGACCTAGGTAAGGCGGGTGGCTTGCTGCGCCCTGTGGCCCCACCCACCTCAGCACAGTGCACATAGTGTCCCCGCAGTTCTACGGCCCCCATGGGTTGGAGCTTAGTGCCCATCACCCTTTGCAGCAGCGTCCAATCTGAGACGGGCATATGCGTGTGCAGTGGCTCGTACACGTCAAACACCATCCATCCTGCATCTGTATCAGCAGTAATGCCCAAAGCGATGCGCGTCAGTCCATGGCGGAGCGTCGGGCGCTCAACATTGGACCGCGATGCGCTCTTTCAGATGCACAAGACTGGTGACCAGCCTGGCCACGTTTTGCTCCGTCCGCGCCAGGAACCAGTTTGGCCCTCTGATGGGTAACGATGGCCTCGTTTCGTGCCATTCCCCTCTTTCTCAATCTGCACGCCACGTTCACGCAGATGGGCAGGTTGAGCTGAGGCAAGGTGTTGTTCCGAGTCTGGTCACTCACCCTCTGTCGTTGCAAGGATGCCACTCACACAGCATGTGATAAGATTCAACGGCAAGCGGCATTAGTCAACTCCGTGTCTCTCTCGTGTGGCCAACCAGAACCTCTGGATAGCCATGATATCGGCCAGTCACCTTGTTGTTCAACCAGCCTCAAACTGCTGTGTTTTCTCCTCTCGAACAAGAGGGGTCATGCCCCGAACGGCCATCGGCAAAATATGTCAAGTCCGGCTTATTATTACGTGCATCAGATGCAGTGCACAACCTGGCCAGGCCGATGCAGTCATTATCACTTGTGTATTCGTAGGTCCCTCAATTCACATACTCTGCTGCCGCATCGCGACGGGACTATTGAATCCATTTGAATCTCTAAATTGGATCCTTCTACCGCGCGATACCAATTAAGGCCAGATTCGGGACACATTTTTGGCTTCCTTACCACACCTGTATGCGATCGTCTGTGTCCAGGAGCAGTTGTAACCCCTTACCGAACAGATATTGCTTACCATCCCACCCACTGTGACAATGACGACTACGTCAATGCGTATGCCAACCGTTTGACAGCATGGTAGTGTCCAACGAGTACCACCCTGTGTGGCTCCAGGCTCGTCCAAGAGTCCCCTCCAACGCATTACAAACACACATGTCTAGACGATTCGTTCGGCCGCAATCCCCATCTAATAAGGCCGCAGGGCGTGAACTTCGACCTCCGAATATCATTTGTGCAAATGGGGGAGCTCGAGCGGCTGGACCGTTCGCCAGCTCGCCCCAGCACCACGGTTCTGACACCATCAGCAATGATTTCAAATTGCTTATTGGCAACGGATAACGGTAGGGTATCCACGGGTGGCATGGTAATCCAACGCCGGAAGCGAGCACACCCACGGTATTCCCCTTGCAAGATCACCACTGCAACCCTCCGCCCGCAGATATCGCAGACGCAGCCAGAAGTAGACTTTACCCCGTGATCTGAGATGCCCTCCAAGCGCCTGTGTGACCTTGACTTCATTTCAAGATAACGGTGCAAATTCCATTTCGGGTTGCCGGCCGAGTGCGGATTGAGGCTGTCCCGGCCTCCTACCAATAGATCTTGATATCAGTTGTTGTAGGCTCGGTTTCTCTAACATGTGTGCCATCACAAGGCGACGGCATAAGAGGGGACGTAGATACCGAAGCAATTAGGCAACCACGAGTTGTACCACCACAATACGTACTATGGATATGTTGGATCCGAGACCTGGCATAACATTGCCGTCGCCCGAGAATGAGCCCCCGGGTTCTCTCAAAGGCTGAGGCGCAAGAAACGATTTACCTCGCCCGGAGGTTGGAGGGTGCATGGAAGGGCACACGCTCGATCGCCTTGCAGCACATGTCTCACTTCATTGTCAACGTAGCGGCCGCCTTAGCGCGTGAGTTAAAGTAGCCCCGTAGAGTTGTGTCCAGTGTGTTCACTGCAGCACACTTTGAATGTGATCAAAATCCTGTTACGCTGCTATTCCGTCCTTGTGACGAATGCCGACTGGTGTATCTCCAATGACATAACAATGTTTTTTCACCCCGAAGAAGATAACATATCAGTAAACTCAAAGAAATTATAGGTGCTTTCAATCTAGGCCAGGTTTAGACAATAGTTGAAAGCAGGTCTCGCAATTTTCCCCTTGGCTGAGACCTGGTCACATCAGGTGCGCAGATGTGTCAAATATGAACGGCCAGGAAAGGTCATATGATCAGGGTCCTCAAATCAAGCAGGTCTCACTATACTCTCGTATAGACCTTTGTACTTAGAAGCTCAAAAAGGCATATCACATTTGAGAATAGAGATATTCCGAGTTCATGAGGAACCGTACTCAGCCCAACATTCTGCCCACATGCCATCAAAGAGCTTGTACCAGTGATTTCAAAGTCCCTGGTCGCTTACCATCTTCCTATAGCGGATTTTCAATAACTCTGTGTACCATGTTCTAAGCTGCAATATACTAAATGAAAGCTATATGCGGTTCAGACATAAGCCGGCTTGATCCCGAATGCATGAATTAAGGCCACGAGGGATATAGCAAATAAAGTAAAAGCCAGATATTGCTCCATACTGAGCATTTTCTAATATCTTGTGCGTAGATAAATAAGACACACATTCATTCGGGATTATGAAGAGTCCATACGTCCTATTCTGTATGATTCCTGCGTTAGATACATCACTATCTGGACCTCAACGAAGGATGAGATGGGGTCCGAGGCAGAGTCAAATTTTCATAGGACTGACCACCAGTATCCTGAATAGGACTCAATGCTATAAACTTAAAACTAAAATATTGAAATTAGCCTACAAGGATCAATATTTCAATGATAGAAACACCGAGACCTTACTCCTTATTTTTTTTCAAGGGCATCGAAGGAACGCAATTTAAAAGAACACTCGGTGTAGGGTAGAGGCTTGTAGTAAGGGGACTCTGAGACGGCCTAACAACTTCCAAAACTGACAGCATCTAAGTTGGCTATCATGGATATTTGTTAATTGTCGTTTCTTCGGTAGGTATAATGGAATAAATATTAAAGTATCATGGAATGATATGGTATAGAAGGATATGAGGATTCATTCACAGCTATCTTGGAACTGGTTGAGCTGGGGTTGTGGCTACTGTTACTATAGGGTAGGTAGGTAGGTAGGTAAGAAACATGACCCCGCAGCCCGCCTGTGCCATGACCTGAGCCGTCGACGACAATGGCCAACAGGCTGTTGAGTTCATCATTGTGCCAGTTGCTCCCTGCGTCAAAATTTTTATTTTCTCCACGACAGTGTAGAACAATATCAAGGCTACGAGAAAAACACATAAGAGGAGATGGAGCTACGCTTATAGCGTGATGAAAGCCCACCCAAGTCACAGAGTACATCGTCCCAAAGTTCTCTTCAATCATCGCAGCAGCGCTTCAAGACGAACGACTAGGAACGATTCCAACGGCAACACCACCAAAAACAGCGCTACTGATACCGCTGAGGCAACCAGAAGACGACCCGTTGAGCACACCAAAGGACAAAATCAAGAACGGAGACAAAGTAGCAGCAGGTCGAACACCATGGCCGCGATTCCGGCCTTGTTTACCTCCGCCCCCCCAATCCGTGACGCCCTGACCACGCAGACCTCTGAAAGTCAGGACGAGACGGTCAAAGTATGCCTACCTTTTCTCTCAGGCCAAGAGCCTGGAACACGCAATGATTACGGAATTCCGCATCTGAGCCGGGATCGCCACATCAAGTTTCTGCAGACCCAACTCGGCGAGTTGCCTGGGGCCTTCAAGGCCATGGACCCGGGCCGGCCATGGATCTTCTACTGGTGCCTAGCTGCGTTGACACTTCTCGGTGAAGATGTGGTCTCCTATCGCGAGAGACTTGTCGCGACTGTGCGTCCCATGCAGAACGAGGGCGGCGGATTCGCTGGGGGTTTCGGCCAAGACTCACATCTCGCCACTACATATGCAATAGTCCTGTCGTTGGCCCTCGTCGGCGGGGATGATGCCTTCGAGGTGGTGGACAGGAAGAGCATGTGGAGATGGTTGGGCTCCCTCAAGCAGCCTAACGGAGGATTTCAGATGGCGGTAGGGGGTGAAGAGGATGTGAGGTATGTCTATCGCTACGTCTCCTCAGAGAGACTAGCCTTTTAGCCATCGATGCTGTGATACGTGACCTTTCTCTTGCTCACTCAATACTTTCGTCCAGGGGTGCCTACTGTGCCGCGGTTATCATCTCCCTGCTCAACATTCCCCTCGACCTCCCAACAGACTCGGCTGCATATTCAGCAGGCCACACTGACCTCCTTAGTGGGTTGGGAGAATGGATAAGTCGCTGTGAGTACCTTCTTGCCCCCCCTCAAGTCTTGTACGAGTCACTCACATCTCCGAGGCCAAACATACGAAGGAGGTGTGTCAGCTAAGCCGGGAACGGAGGCGCATGGTGCATATGCCTTCTGCGCCCTAGGCTGTCTGTCGATTCTGGATTCTCCACATAGAGCTGTTCCACGGTATGTCTCTTTCTTTTTCTTCCTCCATCCACGCCTCCGAGAAAGACAGGAAAGAGGGGCGTGAAGCGCGACAACGGAGAGAAAAAGGCGAGGGGGAGGAGCCCACCAACAGACTCAGCTTTCCCTTGCTAATGCACTCTGGCATGTATCTAGATACCTCGACGTTCCACGACTCATCTCGTGGATCTCGTCCCGACAGAATGCCCCAGAAGGCGGCTTCTCGGGTCGCACGAATAAACTTGTTGACGGATGCTACTGCCACTGGGTCGGTGGATGCTGGCCCTTGATCCAGGCCAGCCTGGGCGGCCCGCAGGAGGGACCCAAAGCTGAGGACGTAAACAATGATGCAGCGGCGGAAGAGGCAGGCGATCATAGCTTGTTCAGCCGAGAAGGTATGATCCGTTACATCCTCTGCTGCTGCCAGGACACGTCGAAGCGCGGCGGGCTCAGGGACAAACCAAGCGCGTAAGGAATCCCCCTCCCCCCCTTCCTCTCTGGTGCGCCACTCCCGGATCAAACTGACATTTCTTTTTATTACTTGTCTCTTAGCTACTCTGATGCCTATCATACTTGCTACGTACTCTCCGGCTTGAGCTCTGTACAGCACAAGTGGACCCTGAATGTTGCTCGCACTGACCCGTCCGTTGAGAGGACTGACAAGTGGTCTGTACGCCCCTTTAAGGAGGGTGGCCAACAGATATTTGACGAGGAGGACCGCGTCCGCACAACTCACCCTGTATTCGTGATTCCCCAGCAAAAAGCAGAGGACATGCTGAACTATTTTGCAGCAAAGTTTGGATTCTAGGGATGGACTGCTTGGAGATTGCGCCAACCACACCGACTATACTTTGTCCGCTCTATCAGATATGCGGGCTTGGGTCGTATGGCTCTATCACGTGCTGTAAGACTGCAGCTGGCCCCCCCGATCGAGGATAATGAACGTAGGGACGGCACAGTCGGTAGAGTAGTGTGTATATTCCGAAGGGAGATAGCATATGTGGATATCATATGGTAAAATCAAAAGTCCTGTACATTTCACGTTCCAGACGACCCTCCCCCAGTTCTAGAACAGTTTACCTTCAGGGGAGCAACACCAAGCCAAGACCAGGCAGTGGAAGAGGCATAAATTAGCGATATAATGGGCAAATAAATCCTACAAGTGAAAAAATCCCGTAAATGGCTGCGCCCAGGCCGGGCCCCTCAAATTACCCCATCTGCTGGAGCTTGCATAAGGGAAAGGGGGAAAAAAAAGTGGCAAGGCGAGGAGACAGAGCGTGTGACAACATGGTAACTATAACGAGTCCCGAGCTGAGAGGAGTCCATCCAGATCCCTTATCCTATCGCCGGTCGGCTGTCAGTATGGATGGGGAAAATCAATATTATGTGGCACTCGATGGGCCCGATGAGTCCTCATGGACCAGGGTGCCCGATTCTCGAATTGTTTAATCAAGCAAGATGGGCGAATGACCGCCAGGGAACGGGGTGGTTGCGAACACCAGGAATGACGTCGTCGAGGAAATGGAAAAAAAAAAAAAGGCCGATGAGGTCTGCTTTGCATACCTACATAGGAAAAAGTACTTCAGATGGTTGGTAAGTTGGGTAATGGTGGGGGGGAGGGAAGGGAAGCACGTAAGGTAACGGCGGCGGACAACCGTCGAGCCGTGCGGCCTCTCTGTTTTGGTTTGCCACAATTGCGCCGGCGAGATCGTACATAATGTACTTCTCTGCCTGTCCCTTGGCACTGCATGTCCTGCACATCATCTTGCCAAAGGAGGAGAGTGGACAGGGAGGGATGGGAGGAGCCCTCCAACCACCATCAGAGGACCCTGGTGGGTGTGTCTGGCCAGCCGGTCACACATGCAGCATAATGGTATACCTGCCGGCCGACAGAGATACTTGGGGTATACACTCGGGCTGGAGGTACATGCGGCCAAGGACGATGAACACGCGATGATGGGCATGCCTACCTACGCATGTCTCAGTGCCCCTCCAGGGCTGGTTTCGAGTCTCGGCGCAGGAGCTGGCTAGATCCGAGACATTCTCTAACATGTATCTGAAAAGTCGATCTAGAACAACCTTATGTGGACTGCGAAAGGATCTCGAGTCTCGGGCTGCCCATATCGCGTCTGCCAAGGAGGAAAAGGTTAGGAAGACTTGGCTGGCCCGAGAGACGTTCCGCTCTGTCAAAAAAAGAGCGGGCGCTGATGTCGGCAGCTGCATAAATGCGATACAACGTGTCTATTCTGACGTTGAGAGGACCGGGTCAAAGAGAAGCAAATGCGGTGGGTTGAGTTCTGGCCGCATCTGATGCGACCGCCCACGTACGTTGGGGGTAGGTATAGGGCATGTACTAGCCAGCGAGCCGTGCAGTGGGGTGGCACCATCCAGGCCCTCTTGCTAACACATCCATACCTCCTCGAGAACGGTGCAGAAGGTGAGCAGCAGGAGCATGTACTGATACAATTACACGTAGCCCGGAGGTCACACTCGTCAAAGCACCTTTGGCTGCTCTGATCTGGACATGGGAGACCGACCCGACCCATTGATGGCATTTGGGCGGTGGGGTTCGAGGGGCTACAGGATAGGCCCCAGGTGGATACAACGGCCGCCGTCTGCATTTTCTTCAGCCATCCGTACGGTCGGCCCCCAGGGATCAGACCTCTACCGGGGCCAAGTTGATACCGAAGCCAAATCGGCATTGGATGGGATGGGCGGGACGGAAATAAGATAATGTATGAACGACAAAAAGGGTCCAGCATCGGGGTACTGCTACAATGCTTCATGTGCGTTGTCTGCCAGCTAAGGTCATGATGAAATCATGGCTGACTGTCGCGCACCCGATTCTCCTTGCGATGGAAGTAAGCTGGCTGCCCCGGGCTGGGGTTGCTGTGAATGGGATGAAGGAGCTGCTCAGCTGGCCAGGCCCCGGCTGGCTGCCGTGCCCCCGACAACAGGCGCCGTCAACGAGAAGAGGGAAGGTATCGAAGGTATTTCGGCCAGACCAGCTGCAGGTTGAAATTACTTGTGGAAAATAAAGGTCGAACCATTTCTGGGTCGCGGGACTGACACCAGGTACGTACCTTGTAGCTGACCCTGTTCTCCCAAGCGCGGGGTTCAAGTCTTGTCCAGGATGCTCTCTCCATAGCTTCCTGCCCCTCCAATCGTCACCACTGACATAATGGGAAGTGGCGCGACAGGGCTCTGTCAATTGCCCAAAACTGAGGACGGAGCATTGTTTACACGGATACAAGGACAGGGCCGCACGGAGAAAAGATCTCGTAGCAAGGATTGATGGTTTGTTCATTTGGTCATTGGACCACTCTCGAAAGCCACCGAGTCTGAGGTGCATGCAGATGCAGCGAATCGCCCCAGGCTAGTTTGCTAGCGCTTCGTGCGTGGAGGTCTCAAACTCGTCTTGGGCTTCACTTTTTTCGCGTTGCTGCAGACCGCCGGGAGCTGACCGCAACAAGCTGGGAACGTGCCAACGGCCGGCCTTCGGCCCAACTTGGCGAACACGTTACGAACTGGAGTGGTGTAGGTCGACACGTTACTTAGACTTTAGGGCTGCGACAGTCCTTGCCCACGCGCTGTCCTTGGGGGGTTTTAGGTGTGATTTCTGGAACATTTCCAATTAGTCGAATCGAAGGCATGGAAGCCAATGTGGGCTACTGGCAGCACGTCCAATTAGCGTTGTGTGACATTGACATAGTATTTCCATATTTTTTCTTCTTCTCCTTCTCTCGCTATTCTTTCTTTTTTTGCCCATCATGTCATGTGCAGATGGAGTAAGCCGATAATCGTTTAATCATACTCGTGGTGTCTCTGCTGCATATGCGCACATGGAATCCATCCATTCGCCTTTTGCGGGCTCCGATCTGTAAGCTGCCTAGCTCCAGCTATGGATGTGGCTAGGACATAATTCTGCCTGAGAATCCGGTCGGCCTCACCACAGGATACGAACGTTAAATCCGTTTTCTTTGCTTTTTCTTCCCCGCGGGCAAATGGTCTCATCAGCAGCTACCTACCTAATGTACCCATCCTCAACGGCCGTGTAAGTGGTTGGCCGTTGGTCGAGTCTTTCGAGGCTGTCAATCGCCAACTGCAGGTGGGGCACTCGCTTCCCATAGCTTGCTTGGGTTTATCGAGACTGGTACCTCTTGTGCATTTTGGTTTTTCCTTCTCTTCGGGTTTCGCCCCCCTTCTTTCCTCTCGCGATGCCTATAATTAGCATGAGGTAGTAGTCGGTCGGTACGCGGTGGTTCAATTGTTCGTCTACTCCGCGGATAGCCCATGTAGGCCTGGCAAGTAGAGGTTCTTGCGAATACCTGTACATTGACACCGAGGTACCTGCGGTTGCCCTTGCGGTACCAGCGTGATGACAAGCCGCTACTTGATCCTCTCTGCAGACTACTGGGGTCGACTCTGCAGCAGCAGCAGCTTCGGTATGTACCCAGCAGGTAGGTAGGTCAGCCACTGGTCGAGTCGGGGTCTTGGACGGGTACTACTGGGCTAGTGGGCAGGTAAGTTTTGGTGTTGTCTTTGTCCACCTTCTCTAGCCCCGAACCCCTCCCTTTCCTTCCCTTTTCACGAGTAATGTCAACAACCGCGCAGTGCCAACTCATCAATGCATGAGAACCCCAAGACCTCACAGGCTTGTCTTCCCTAGCTACCTCGACCCCTCACGACCACCAGCGGCCACCGACCCAATCAGCCTGGCCTTTACACCGTCAACTTCACAGTCCTCATTCCTGAAGCTCCAAGCGACAGGATGCACGACAGGGATCTGCTCGATCCATCACTCCACTGCTGCCCTGTTCATGCACCTCCTTGTTCCTCTCACCGATTATTTTGCTCTGCGATTTTCGTTTCTCGTCCAGCATGGCCATGGCGTGGCGCCTTTGTACCGGCTGGCCCCAAGGGCTTACCCACTCGATGCACATTGGACAATGGATGGCTCGCAGATGGGCCCCTCCTCCCCACCTCTCGAGAAGCACCTACGTGCTTCCTAGTGCAGTCTAAGCACCTTCACCCCATCGGCCATGCTTTAGCTTTGGAGCACCACCTTGACGAGTCCTCTCTGGCTCACTCCGGGCGACGTCGACGTTGGCTGATGGTCATATGGCGTACCAACCACTCGGGTTAAACCAGACGTACGTGGCTAACAACCCACCCCATCCATGGACAAAGGGACTACACCATCCCAAAGCTGCTTGCATGTCTGCTTGCCCCTCGTCTCGTCAAAGGCCCGCCCGCTTGTTACCGCCTTGATGAATCCCCATAGAAACCAAGCCCGGGTTACATGGCTTGACGGCCACTGCGGACCTTACACTAGCACTGACATGCATACCTGCTCCAGCGGCCTATACGTAGGTTACGGAGTACCAAGACCAAGGTCACAGTACCCAAGGCCTTTGATTAAAAAACCCTGGACTGAGCCACAGCGACTTTCCAATTCGAGTGACCTGCCGTAGCATGACAGGTGGTCCTGCAGCATGTTATATCCAGACCCTTATGATTTCCCAGGGAGTTGGCCTCTGGGCCCAGGTACAGGCCGATACATGGCCTCGGTCGCATCATTTGTCCTCTCTGCGCATTGACCAGAACTGCCTGGCATCAGATCTCGGAGGGCTAATCCTCTGGCCGGCCCAGGGTGCCGCCCGGGGGGGAGTCGAGGGACTACCACAGCAACAACATCATAATGCGTAGTACATTGCGTGCAAACACGAACGCGGATGGACGCCCTCCTGGCCTCCTTTGTTGTCTATTATTTGTTTCGCCACCACCTAATCTCTTGTAGGCGAAGTACATGCCCGAAACCGTGCAGATACTTACTCGGCTGCATCCAGTCCTGAGCTATCTATTAGTCCAGTCCCCACGCAGGCAGGCTCATCAACATCGCCGCCTGCCGGGGGGGGTAGAAAAAAAAGTCGACGATGCAGAAGAGGCAAACCTGGCTTACCGAGTAAGGAATGTCCGTTCTGATCAGACTGAGCGGCCAACTCGAAGGCCGTCGACACTTATCAGAGAGATCGCCTGGGTGCTGCAGCCCACCTCCGTTTGGTGGAGGTGGTCTAGTTCCTCAGCGGCTTTTGATCAACTGGCAAGTAGGTAGGCCAACACATCAAAACGGGTCACCCTTTCAAGAGCCGCATCGTTTGCTTGCATCTAATTTACCTCCGTTCGCGCGTTGCTTTGTTTTTGTATCCAGACACCCCTGGCTCCGCGCTAGCAGGTCCGTCTCAATAAAGCACACATGTCTCGCTGTTGATGGCTCCTCGTTTCCCGCACCAAGAACCCTGGATCCTCAGATTGGTTTCCCTGCTTCAATATCACTCCCCGAACCTCCACTCATCTCGGCGCCGGACTCTCTCAAAATCCTCCTCGTTTCTCCCCCCCCTCAACACCTCATACTTCCCGACTTTCTTTTATACAGTCTTCTCCTCACCGTTGGGCTCGAACGCATCTCAGCCGTTCGTTTCAATTAAGCCCTTGTCTACCTCTACCTCACACGATCCGAGATCTATCCTGTCACCACCAACCTTGCTCATCGCAACTGCCGTTGTTTCCACTTTTTTCTCACTTCCTCCCCTTCCGAGCTGCAGTCGCAACAGCAGCCGCCTCACTCGTCGAGCCAATTCTCCCCATTGAAACGCAAATTTCACCATGGGTGGTTTCTACATGCAGTACCTGGAGAGTAAGTCTATCTATTGGGCACCGAAACGATTTGTTTCTCCCATTTCCGCCCGCAATTGCTCCCACCATGATGCGTTGTCCGTGTGATTGTGTATGTGGGGGAAGCAGCAGTGAGGAGTTCCAAACCTGTTTCAATTGAGTGGTCTGAGTCGCATCGAGACATTCGTTGAAACTCGAAAATCCCGCTGTGCAATAGTCAGTTCCTGCAGCGTCATCTGACGAATGTGCGCTCTCATTCTGACTTGCATCGAGTTGAATCTCGAGTGCCATGTCCCTCGCCGGATTAGTGCCGTCGAGGCCCAGCCGAGACGTGGGTTTGGGAGGGTGCAGGCACGTTAGTCTGCAGGCTGTTCAATTGAATTCATCGCGAACATATATACTCATCAAGGGCTAACATTTTACTCTCCAATTAGGTCTTTGCCGTCGACGAGGATGGACGGACCCTTCCTACGAATGCTACCACCACAACAATGGCTTCACATGCCTTGTGCTCGTCAATGGCCGAGAGTATCAGACCGACCTCGTCTATGAATCGGATCTTCTAGCGCAGGAGAATGCGGCAATGCGTGCATTTATGGTTTGCCGCAACTTTTCTGTCAACGGCGGCATGCTGGCTCGCAATGGCATTGTCCAGGGCCTGCCCGCTGCTGATGGGAAGCGGCGACACAAGACCCGTCATGCTTCATCAAGGGACAGCACTGAGCGACACAGCAGACGATCTGGTCACCACTCCAGCAGCAGCTCCACTGCCTCATTTGATTGAGTTCCTCTATCTTAAATCTAGGCCGGGAGAACAAAAGATGGAGGTCAGCCTTCTTTCCTACCCACTGTCCGAGCTTTCACCGGCCAACTCGGACCCTTCCTTCTTCTTCAAATAAGGGCTACGACGGAGTCATTTGGAAATCCGGGACGTGTTTACAAGCGGTTGGACGGCTTCACAGCAATTCCTCTCAAGGAAATACCCGCAACAATCTCACTATTGGGTTCGCTCCCAATCGACAAGGAAGAAGACAAGAGACCGGAACTTAAAAAAAAAAAGTAAAGGTGCAGGAAGAAAACGCAAGGCGAGGCATTGCATGATTATTATTAACGACGATCAATGACGATACGCAACGAACTTTTTTAGACGGCATTTTTTTTTGCGCTGGGCGGATGGCATTTGTCGAGTTCCTCTTTTGAGCTCCCCATCATCTTGATTTTATAACGAGTTTTTCACCTGTTCGACTTCTCTTTTTCTCCTTACATCTCCTTTACTTTCCTATAGGAAAGCGACTCCGCTCTGACGTCTGTTTGCAAATGTTTATGTTACGGAAAAGATGGTATTAGTTCAGGAGGAGAAGGGGAATTGTGGGTCTGCCTGGTGTTGGTCGTTGGTCGAGCAGCCCTGCCAGGTGATATGTGACCATTCTTGGGAATGTTACACCAACGGCCATGAAGGACGAATAAGAGCGCCTGGATGCATATCTGGCCATGTTGCTAATGCCCGAGGGTCTGGTGGAGCGGGCCTGCAAGCGCCCGCTCCAACCTCGACTCTTGCCTTACCGGGATATTTTGGGTAGGATGGATGGAGGACATGTCTTTTTTAACGACTTTATGGGATTGATGAGAAGAGATCAGCGTCGACAAGGCACTGCAATGAAGAGCAAGAACAAAAAAAGCGAGTGGTTTCACACGATTTAAAATCAACTAAACAGCGCTGCTCACGAGGAACAAGATCTCGCAAGGGGGAGGAAGTCTGTTTTCTCATGTTTTATGATGACAAGCACCTATTCAAGATATTATGATAACGAATTATGAAGAGACTACAATGCATTAGTTTGCCTTTTTTCCCCCCTAAATCTCATTCGCTCGACTTGAGAGAGAGAACCATCCATGCCCACCCCCATGCCCTCGCTAAGTGGTGGTACATCGAAGTACCTGACATGTACACTCCATATCTGCCGGCAGGTTCTCAGACGAAGCGGTCTAAATCCCTGGCATGGCATCGTTACTTTGGGCATCTGAGGGGTGTGCTCCGTTTTGTGACAAGGACGTCTTAGGCGCTCAGTTGGGCTCTTGCTGTTGGCTGGCGGGTCCCTCCCACGGCTCGAAGCGCGCGGCTGCAGCCTCCTCCTGGGGAACTTGCAGGACGCATCATAGGCTAATGGCGCAGCGGCTCGATGTGAGTTCTGTGGGGGTGCAACTCTATATATATCATTGGGCGAGGTACATAACATACATACATACATACGCGACCCTCCCCTTTCTGTCCCGCCTCCCGCGATTGGGTCGAGAGGGCAAGCCTGTACATACATATGTGCGTTCCGGGGGCGGAGACGGGCGGTTATCTCGCACCTACCAATCGGCAGAGTTGTGAGCGAGCTGGAGGAACTGCCAGGGATCTTTTGGCGATTGGCCGGACGAAAGATACGACCAGGCTTGGGGTGTCTACGAGGTCTACGCGCGAGGTGTTCGTGCCGGGGGTTTGTCGTCGGGGGCCTGGAATTGTCCATGTTGGTGTTGAGGTGCATCTGGCCGGGATCTGCCAAGGCCTTTGACATGTCAACCCCCCGATAAGGTTAAGCGGTAGGAACAAGCATTAGATTGAGTAGTCTTGGTGGTGTGTGTGTGTTCCTTTGTGTGACTGTGTAGAAGGGGAGGGGGGGACAAAGTGTGTTTTTGCACACTCTCAATAGGTATGTTGGATTAACGTGATTGCGCCGGTATGTCCTTCCGGGAAGGACACGAGTTTGACACGAGATGCTGGAGGGTATCGAGAAAACGTGGGGTGATGGGAGTCAGATGATGGTCGTTTGGGAGGAGATTTCGGGAAGGCTTATAGTAGCTTAAGACAGGGGTTGCATCTCATACGAGTTTCATGGGCAGGCAGAGAAACGAGACTGTCTGTCTGGGGATTTTCTTCTGTAGGATCTTTGGAAGGGTCCGCCTGACTGATCGTCGGGCCGACAGACTAAGACGACGAAGAGCACGCCGGCTGGCAAGCTCGTCGTCGCAAGGAAAGGGTGGGCGCAGGCTGTTGTGTTTCAAATCACCAGACCTTTTGGTGGCTTGCAGACTGGTACCAGTATGGGAAAATGCTTAATTGTGTAATCAGCCACATTGAATAGCGGAGTTCCCAGTACCTGCAGCGGCCAAGGGGGAGATTGGCTGTTGGTGAGAAGCAAATGAGCTAGCCAGGCCACGGAAACGTGTGTCGTGAGATGACGTTGCGCTGAGACGCATGTTTCCTCTGCTTGTGTAACACCGAAGTGCTCTCGGGAGGGGGAGGGGGAACGGCTGTGATAGGCAGGCTGCCATCTGGGCGAGGCTTCCACGCATTGTCTCTGACCCGTCTGTCTCTCTTAACGGTTTGAGGTGCGACCGCAAACAGCCCCATGACCAGTTCAGTAGGGAGACAATGACGAGGTGGTCTGTCGCCTTGCCACCAAGTGCCGATTTAATAACGCGAGGACGACTTCCGGGCAGGGGGCCTTCCAATAATGCGGTCTGTAGCAGTTGGAGCTGGGTGGGCAAATTTCTGATTGAGCCACAAGGTCGGGCTGAGGGCCTGGGATTGGCTGAGAGTCTAGGCCCCGTCTCATCAATCACGGGGGGGCCTCGTGTCGTTTCGCCGGTTGGAATCTGCAAGTGGTCCGTTGATGAAGCCCGTTTGACAGTGCCCACAGCTGCCTTCCCCTGAGCACCTTCCCTCCCCCTAAATTACCTCTTGCATGCAGTATTAAATCAATCTTGGGAGACCCTTGACCGCATTCGTCACGCAAAGCTCCATTTTTCATCGAAACTTATATGCGTGGCGCCGCGCCTTAGGCAGACATCCAGGAGGAGACTACCAAGACGAGACAGATTCACCTGTTTGGTTTCATTTCAAGATCGTGACTCTTTTTTTCTTGTAGCAGCCTGCTGTCTTTTTTATTCCCATTGCCGAGCACTCGTTTTCGTCCACACCTGTTCGATTCCCTCTCTCCCGCCTGTTCACCACCCGTCAACAGACCAATAGACCCCGCCCTCGATTGGTTGAGATCTCCATCTCTCCTCCCTCGTCAATCCAATCCACCAACCAAGCGAAAGCTGTCCTTTTTGGTGCACCACCCCGCGCTCTTTCGCTCGTCTCCCCTTTCCTTCTTTCAGCGACATTCTTCACACTCGCTCCTCACCCATAGCACCTTTAATCACTACTCAGCAATCATGAAGGGTAAGCCACCACCGTCTCATTGGCCGCCTGCTTTTTATGCTCACCGTTGCTTCTAGGACTTATTCTTGTTGGCGGCTTTGGCACCCGCCTCCGTCCTCTCGTACGTGCCGCAATTCACGACAAGCCTTCCCTCCTGGGAAAGCTTCCGATCCCTCGGTGTATGATGCGAACGCCCAGTGTTAACGTCTATCCTGTTCCCTAGACTCTCACCCTCCCAAAGCCCCTTGTCGAGTTTGGCAACAAGCCCATGATTGTGCACCAGATTGAGGCCCTCGTTTCTGCTGGTGTCACAGACATTGTTCTCGCTGTCAACTACCGCCCTGAAATTATGGAGAAGTTCCTCGCCGAGGTAAATTGCCCTCAGCATTTTTTAATTGGTTTGAAGTCCCTGAAATCTCACGCGCCAATTCTTTAGTACGAAGAGAAGTATAACATCAACATCGAGTTCTCCGTCGAGTCCGAACCCCTCGACACCGCCGGTCCCCTGAAGCTTGCCGAGAAGATCCTGCTGAAGGATGACTCGCCATTCTTCGTCCTCAACTCTGATGTCATCTGCGATTACCCCTTCCAGGAGCTGCTGCAATTCCACAAGAACCACGGCGACGAGGGAACCATTGTGGTGACAAAGGTCGAGGAGCCCTCCAAGTACGGTGTTGTCGTTCACAAGCCCAACCACCCTTCGCGCATCGACCGATTCGTCGAGAAGCCCGTTGAGTTCGTCGGCAACCGTATCAACGCTGGCATGTACATCTTCAACACCTCGATTCTGAAGCGAATTGAACTCCGTCCCACCTCCATTGAGAAGGAGACCTTCCCTTCCATGGTCAAGGACAACCAGCTCCACTCGTTCGACCTCGAGAGCTTCTGGATGGACGTCGGTCAGCCCAAGGATTTCCTGAGCGGAACCTGCCTGTACCTCTCCTCCCTCACGAAGAAGGGCAGCAAGGAGCTGACCCCCCCTACCGAGCCCTACGTCCACGGTGGCAACGTGTTGATTCACCCCTCCGCTAAGATCGGAAACAACTGCAGAATAGGCCCTAATGTCACCATTGGCCCCAACGTTGTGATTGGTGACGGTGTTCGTCTCCAACGCTGCGTACTACTCAGCGGCTCCAAGGTCAAGGACCACGCCTGGGTCAAGTCCACCATCGTCGGCTGGAACAGCACCGTCGGCCGCTGGGCTCGCCTGGAGAACGTCACTGTCCTCGGCGACGATGTCACTATTGGTGACGAGATCTACGTCAACGGTGGCAGCGTCCTCCCCCACAAGTCGATCAAGGCCAACGTCGACGTCCCCGCCATCATCATGTAAACAGCCAAAACCAAAAACCCAATCATTCACCACCCATCTCTCGCATCCAAAGGAAGCTGAGGGCTATAGAAGCGAAAAAGATTTCCAAAATAATTCCCAGCAACACCCTTCAATGTAATGATTTTCCTCTTCAACCGATTGATCTACGAAACATCTCGCCACTCCAAAAAACTCACAACACACCCCCACCACCCACCACACGAATCTGTAATCGATAACGGCCATTTACCGAAAGACGAAATGCACAAAAGGGAGATAACCAGTCTCCTGCCCTTTGAGAGGAAGAAAAAAAATATTTTTAATCAAAACCCAGTGTCCCTTTCTCTTTTTCATATTTGATGCTCTTTGTCGCGTTTGTGTGCTATTTGGCGTCTAAGGGGGATATGAGCGATCTTCAGTGCATTGGACGGCATCGCAGGGGCTGCGGGATTGTAGGAGACGGCCGGCTGTATGGAGCCTTGTCTTTGTTTTTTTATCAGGTAGCTCAAATGGAACAGCAATGAGACGAATATGTGCAAAGATCTTGTGACTCCCCTAAATACTCGAGCTTCTTTCAAAATATGATATTACAACTTAAAACATAATGTAAAACAGTGGAATTTCGCTTCCCCGTCAAAATATATCACCCGACCTCTTCCTTTTTATCTATCCTAAACAAAATTGTACAAGTCTAGTTGTCCGTCGCCCATCCACGGCACATGCGAACGGCCTTTTCCCACTTTGCCCTCTCCTCGTCTCTTCGCAGGCTGTCAATCTTTGGCTCGAAGACCGTCCGGCCCTTGCGATTTACCTCCCTGAGGTCCTCGAGCTCCTCCCAGACACCGGTCGCCAAGCCGGCAGCGATGGCGGCACCGAGGGCGGTGGTCTCGCGCATGGCGGGGCGGTCGACGGTGATGCCGCTGATGTCGGCCTGCGTCTGCATGCAGAGGTCCGAGTTGGACAGGCCGCCGTCGACGGCGAGAGATTCCAGGGTCTTCCCGGAGTCGGTGGCCATGGCGTCGAGGATGGCTGCGGTCTGGTGGCAGGTCGCCTCGAGGGTGGCGCGGGCGATGTGGCCCTTTTGTGTGTAGGCGGTGATGCCGACTAGAGAAGCGAGCTGGTTTAGTATTTGGCTTGGGCTGTAGGGGGCTTGGATTATCATTAAGCAGAGAATCGTCACTTACACATGGTGCCGTTGGCATCATCGATCCAATATGGGGCGAAGAGACCGCTGAAGGCTGTCACGAAGAAGACGCCGCCATTGTCGGGGACGGTTCTAGCGAGACCGTCAATCTCGCTCGAGCTTCCAATAAGTTTGAGGTTATCGCGGAGGAAGGTGACGCCAGAACCAGCAACAGCAATGCTTCCCTCCAGGGCGTAGACTGGCTTTCTTCCTTTGCCAAAGTCATAGGCAACAGTCGCCAGCAGGCCGTTTTTAGAGATGACGGGTTCATTGCCAACGTTATAGAGGAGGAAGCACCCAGTTCCGTAGGTATTCTTAGCCTGGCCGGGGTTGAAGCCGCATTGACCTACGAGTGCTGCCGACTGGTCACCTAAACATCCTGCAATAGGAATGTTCTTCAGGGGCCCACTGCTGAATGCGCCAAAGGAAGAAGGGTCAGAGGAGGGGACGATTTTAGGGAGTGTGATGTTGGAACGATCCAGCTTGAAGAAGTCGAGCAGGGTCTCATCGTATTGGAGGGTGTTGAGGTTCATGAACATTGTTCGGCTGGCGTTTGTAGGGTCAGTCACATGGATGGGACCACCAGGTCTCTCCTGTGCGCCGTTAAGACGGTAAATCAGCCACGAGTCCATGGTTCCGAAGGCGAGGCGGCCCTCATCATATGCCTGCTTCACAGACGCGTCATTGCGAAGAAGCCAAAGCAATTTTACGCTGGATGGATATGTGGACAGTGGGAGGCCGCACAGGTTTCGCAGCTCATCCTCCTTCCCCGATGCCTTGAGTTCACGAACCAACGAGGTTGTTCTCGTGTCAGGCCAAGCAATTGCATTGTGCAAGGGTTGGCCAGTGGTCTTATCCCAAAGGACGATGGTCTCACGTTGGTTGGTCAAACCAACGGAGTGAATTGCTGAGATGCTATATCCCTGAGCGATGAACTTTTCAACGGCCTTTTCAATGCAGGTCTCAACGCTCTGGAGGATCTCGAAGGGGTCTTGCTCATGCCACCTAGTTATCCCTATTAGACTAACCATATAAATTGCAGCGATAATATGAATGTGATGGAATGCAGCAAGCCTTACCCAGGGTGAGGATATAGGTTATTAAACTCAATCTGGTGACTAGCAACTGGTTCACCAGAGCCGTTAAATATCAGGAAGCGAGTTGACGTAGTGCCCTGGTCAATGCTCCCCACGAACCAATGTTCCTGCTGCTCCAAGGTGGTCTCTGCAAGCCCACGGGGGATATGATTCCCAGTATCGGCCACCATACTGGGCAAACTCTTTTGTGCAGAATACAATCTTGTGCCAGGAGGGAAGGGGAAATGGGAAGTGGTGTCCCAACTATGCCGGGAGCCTGGATTAACTAGCCCGGGGCGTCTCGGTATTAGATTACCGAAGACAGAAAACCTGGATTGTCAAGGGCTCCGGTAGGCAATTTGCGAAAACGTTTTCAATCTTGAGCAGCGCTGGGGGCAAAATAGCACTGGGGACTTGGAGTACACTCTCTGTGAGACTCTAAGAAGAGATATTTCGGGAATTGAGCTGAAAGGAGGCATGGCAAGGGCAGATTGGGGGAGCGAGGTGCCTTTATGTGTGATCGCAGTATCGAGAAAAAACACCGAGCCGCATGGCCACCGACGTCAGTGGGGGTCGAGGGCAGCAGCTTGCGACTTTTCCCTTCTCCAATTCCAACTGTCTGGAGGACCGGAAAGCGGCATGATTGGTGGAAAGTTGAAGGACGCGGGGCTCCAGTGTCCCCAATCTGGGTGCCAGTTGGGGTTATGCATGCAAGGCTGGTTCAGCCCAGTCACCAGGAACGAGGTAATTTTGGATGAGGTGGGGGCTCTGATTGATGGGAATCCCCCAAACGCACCCGAAACGAGCCTTGAAAATATTCTCCAGTCACCTGGCAGGTGTTGACATGGACGAGGTATTAAACACGAACAGTATCTTAGCGCGCCACGTCCCCTGTTACTGAAGTCACGATGGAATGACGCAGCTCTAGTACTGGCCTTGAAGACCCACGATGTCTGTTAGTGCAGGCGATTGTCATTCCACGGATGTCGTTGAAAGGGGCCACGTTGTGTAGAGCACTTCTATTAGAGCCGCTCTGGAAGGAGCGCAAGGCCAACCTCTCAGCGGTGTCATCCCCTTCTACTTCCGCTGTCCTAGTTGTAAACACCTGTTCCCCAATACATTCGAATCTCCCCCATCCCCCATGATATCCCTTCCCGCATTCTCCGGCAGCTTCGGAGAAGAAGCCCGAGTCTCCATACATCTACCGAAGAATGCCATGTGTTCCGGGATCTGGAACGCCATAGCAGGCTCCCGCCAGTCCACTTTTTTTAATCATGGATCCCATTCATGTGACGCCGTTATTGAACACTCAGTAATATCTGCGCAGTCTTCCTCTTCGTACATGTGAAAATGAGGCGAGATGGGTAAGCGAATCTAGGTAAATGAATCTTAGGCCTCAAAATTGGTCCCCAAGCATACTGCATTATTCGCTCTTTCCTTCGAACGGGAAAGACTACGAGTGGGGCAGTCGTAGCAAAGAAGCCAAGGCCAAGCACCTACCTGTATTCAGCCCTGCAGTTCTTCTTTGCCAATAGCCGCTCCTTCCTACCTACCTGTGTGGAGGATGTGCTGTGCCCACTTCACAATGTAAGGCAAGAGCTCACTTACTGTGCTAAGGCAGGTACGGATCCACCACGTCATCTACCCCCAGACCAGGAGATACCAGGGAAGGAACAGATGCTTGACGCTTGCCCCATGAATTCATGCCCGGAATGTAGAATAAATTAGGAGGCCGTGTAGCTTAGCCAAGGGGAACATAAACATCTACAACTCATCTTCATATACTCGCAGAGATATCACCCCTCGCCGCACTTAGATGTGAGCGCACTTCCATCGGAGTGTTGATCTCCATCTACAGCTGTCACAAATTGAGTTGGGCCCTACTGGTACTCCCTGCCGATCTCCCAAGCTTATCAGCGCTATTCTTTGCCGAAAATATGGGGTAAGGAAGGCTGCTCATTGGTACCATGTTGCGCTTAGGTGGTAGCTGCTGACTTAGAGACAGAATGAAACGGTCACGGACAGAACAAGAAAGGCCAGACCAAGGCCAAGAATGGTTTCACCAGAACAAAGTACGATCGCTAGCTAGTCGTGAGAATCCGAGTACCAATGGACTTAACCCCGGGCCGATGCAAATGGGGAGTTTCCCATTTCAGTTATCACAAGCTGGCCGAGGTGAATATGGCCAAAGCCATTTCGCGAGTGGTAATAAATATATTTCTCAAGGCTTCACAGAAATTTTCTAATGAGATGAGTTTGCAGAATATACGCAGCTCGCACGATACGGGAATGAAAACAATTCCTTTAATACCAACACAAGTGTCGTCCCAGACGAGTTCTCCGACGGAGTATTAGACGATATCTTCTTATCAGCACAGCTAGAAGAGGTATCAAACCCTTCTCTCCCCACTATTTACAGCGGCCATCAATCTTTTGGCTCCTCTGTTCAGTCCCCAGTCAAAGGCGGTCTGTCTTCAGATACCATTTCAATCGACGAACAGTGGTTGGAGAACAGTATCGGTTGGAATTTGAACTCCCCCGCTGTGCAGTCCATTTCACCCCAGAGACAAAACGGCAAGAGAAGGGTTGATCTAGGCTATGGCGTGGTTATAATGATTCCCCATTACATGTCCTTGGAACCATCGCGTACCTTTTTTCACATGAAAGATATGCTCACTGCGAGAAGCACTACTCTCAGAAATTCCGTAACCACAACCTTTGAGTTTTATGGGAGAGTGATGTACTCAAGTCGCGAAAATTTCGTTCGACGGCAATACTTCCAATTTCGCGACCTGTTCAGAACAACACTGCCTTGTCTTGCTGGTGTCTTGTCGGAATAGGAAACCGGCAGCACGAATGATCGAGGGGCAGAGGAGCTCATGAGCCTTAAGAACAAAGGAGCAAAGGTTTTTTGCCATCTTGAACTTTCACCAGAAAAGAAGTCACCACTTGGCTGGTCTGCGAAAGTAGTTGCAATCTGGCCAACAACTTGGAGGGAGATCCGGGCTTCCCTCGAATTTATGGGCCGTAATGATCTAGACGATCCGAGTCTGGTTTCCGATGCCTGAAGGAGGAATTCGTGTTGAATGATAATTTGTTGGGATTTTGAGTTGGTAATCTCGGCTCTAAAGAGGATATCTGATGGTGGTATAATTTAAGCAAAGGATGTTGGCGTTCGTCCTGAATCGTGTCATTTTCATGAGGGTTTAGCTAACTACGGATGAGATGTGTTCTAATTGAAGTCTATTCAATTTCTATTCGATCTTTTCTCCTATATGAAAACGACTCTTCCTGTGTATTCATCCAATATATCTTTAGCGTATATTCGCTTTTCAGTATTTCCTTTTAAGTAAAAATGTTAGCCGCCGCTCTCACAGAGCACGAATCTATTTCTTGATATAGAGGTATGGGATGACCTCCTCCTGGACAACAGCTCTCATCTCACGCAACTCCGTTCTCGTAGGAGGGATTTGGTCGCCCTGACGACGGCGCCAGCTTTCGGCAGTCTCAACCAGCTCAGCCTCGTCATCTTGACCGGTAGGGTCAACGAACTGGTAAGAGCGGAACTGGCAGTTTGCCCATCCAGTAGCTAAATTATTTCCCCATGTCAGTGAACGAGCTCTAATTTGAAACAACTGATGCCAGAAACTCGAAGAGAATGGAAAACATATTTAGCTGGGGCACTGTCAAGGACTTACCTGAACCTGTGGGAATCCCGTGCCAGTCATCAGTCAGAAAGTGAAGAAACCCGCCGTGAGAGACGGCAGCGACGTGGGCGTCCCCGCTCATGTCGCCGGCGAGGTCACGCAGGGCGCGGCGGGCCTCGCGGGCGCGGGCGGTGAGCTTGGCAAGGGTGGGCTCGAAGGGGCTGTTCTCGCCCTTGTCGGTCCAGATATCGCGGACGCGGGAGGTGTCGACCTTGGAGCCGAACTCGGCCGTCAGCCTCGCGACGGGGGAGCCAATGTCGCAGCCCGAGGCGGACACCTCCTGGAGGACGTCGAGGGCGACGACGGGGTAGAGCCGTTCGCTGCCGACGGAGTGGATGCAGGTGTGGAGGGTGCGGCGCATGGGGGAGGCGGCGAGGCGGGTGAGCTTGTCGTGGGCCGGGAAGGTCTCGCGGACGGTGGCGCACTGGGAGAGGCCGAGCTCGGTGAGGTCCGGGTCGTGGATGGACTCGTTCTCGAACGAGAGGTTGTGGACGCCCTGGGCGTGGCGGATGAGATGGATGGTTGGGGCCATGATGGGGAGTAAAGAATTTACTGTAGAGTTTGGGTGGATGACTGCTTATGTCCAAGGTAGCGTTGGAAAAAGGACGGGGACAGTGAGTGAGATGTTCACGGTCCTTGAACTGTTGTATAAGAGTGAGTTGAGTCAGGAACAAACCTTGCTGTCACGATTCATTAATACTCTGTTCCATGCCTACTTTAGTCATTACCAACCGGTAGAGGTAACCAATCTGCGGGTGAGATCCACCCTGCGTTTACATCCACACAGCCAAGCCACTACAGTATATCCCAACCTTTGGATGTTCTCGCACAGTTGCAACACATGATGCCGCTCTCGTCTGTTTCCTCGCTAGTAGACGCCAGACACCCGGGGCTCCAGGTCATGAAAGTTCTTGTAAAATGCCTCAATCCTTCAGCCCTCCCTCGTCTTACTTGCCCGGCCAACACCGGATCAGCAGAAACCCAGCAACGTCGCCCAAGATTTGTAACTTGGCAGGCACCGCCTCTCCAGTCACTCACGAGCCTCGGCCCCTCTTTTGAACCATAGGAAACCAGCGGCCTAGGAAACGTAATGCAGCTTACAGCATGGGGGCACATCGAAACGTTGACCAAAAGGCAGAGGTTGTGCCCAAGTGGGTCCAGCTCCGTGGCCGGAGGCGGAGATGATTCACCCTCATCGTGCATCGGTCGCCGGCGCCGATTGGCTCGTCCCCAGAGTCTTGCCCGTATAGAGAATGACGGTCATATCAACAGAAATCACTCCCCGTAGACTTGAAAAGAAACGCAACTTATCATTGAAATAACAAATCTGGCAAGCCTAGTCAGGAGGATTGCAAGTCGGGAAATAGTTAGCATTATGCGCACCTCGCAGGGTTCTCGCACAGATCTGTATACCAGAGTAATATGGCCGTATACTTCACTGAATGGCTGGCAATATTGAACAGACTTTGAAAGAAAGAGAGCGAGTGCACACGCTTTATTGTTACTATTCTTTCTGCAGAAGATAGGCCCAAGTGAACCAACCCCTTGGCATCTCGAATTGATGCCAAATCACTGAACACACCAAACGCCTCCCGTGCTTTGGATAGCAAAACGGTCCGAGAATCATTTATACACTCACAACGCAGAATAAACAATCAAAGTTCAATTAGAGCTTCCTCTTGGGCAGGCTTCCTTACGGGCTCGTGCTGAGGAACGCTTGGGAATACATTGCCTTGTTGGTACCCAGGGTAAGCCCAGTTCTGAGCACCTGGCGGTGGCTGCTGATATTGCTGTGGGGGTTGCTGGGGCCAATATTGCTGCGGAGCCTGCGGTTGCGGCTGCTGTTGAGGCTGTTGCGCTTGCTGTTGCTGAGGTAGGGCTGGGGACTGAATTGGGGTCTGCTGAGGCGGACCCTGACCAGCTTGTGGTGGCTGTGCTAGCTGAGTAGGTGTTTGCACCGGAGTCGCCTGGGATTGTGCAGAGATGGATCCTCTCTGGGATTGAATTTGCTGTGGGAGGTTCGGGTATGGAGATGCGTTCACATCGGGAACGGTGCTAGGGGCGGATGGTCCTGAGGGGACTGGAGGGGCTGACGGAGCAGACGAGGTCTGGGTTGGCGGCTGGGAACCGAAATAATATGAGGCGTGAGGGTCCTGAGAAGGCAATGCAGATGATTGTTGTGGCGTGGGCGCTGACGGCACTTGGTCCTGGGGTTGTGTCGGTTGCTGTGGTTGTGGAGGCGCGGGCTGCTGATTGGGTTGATAGTGAGGCCCGGAGCCGGCAGCATGATTCTGCCAACTGTCGGATCTGTGCACCTGTGCTTGTGCAGGATATTGGCCTGGAGTTCCCTCGGGGGCCGCACCGTAAGCAAACTGAGGCGGTTGGCCAGGCTGTGGTGTTCCTGGTGGATATTGTTGATGCACGGGTGCTTGGTAGCTTGCTCGGTGCTGGTGGCCGTAAAAGCCCTCTGCGCCCGCGGCAGCATTACCTGCCATATGCGAAGGAAGAGAGGGATATGGCCCGGATGGCTGACGGGGAGGTGGGATATTGTATCCCCCCAAATTTTGCTGGCTATAAGCCTTTGAAAGGCGATCTTCCAGCATGCGGTCATAGTAGCGGACGACAGTAGACAGCTTGGCGTGTAGATCCAGAAGAGTGTCTGGGACAGTGAATATCAGCATGTTTTTATACCATGGGGGAAAGGTCGGCTCAACTTACCATGTTTACTCATCGTTTCACCATAGGTTCGTGCCAACTTAGGTCTAAGAGTCCCTATGCTGTCATAGAGTTCCTGGATTTGCGGCTCACGTAGAATTGTCCCGGGAGGCTGAGTCTGAAGCCGATCTACAAGAGTTGAGAATAGGTTGATGTTCTCAGCCTCGACTGGTGTCAGCTCGTAGTCGTTTCGTGGAAGAGTGAAGTTCGACGGTGCCGTTGACGATGATTGGTTTGATGTTTGCTCTTTCAGCGCCGCGCTATGTTTCTGCTTCTGCTCCTCCATGTCCGCAAGAGATGCGGCGATCGCTGCCTTTAGATCTTCGTCCTCCTCTTCCATCTGCTTTGCGGCCGCAGAAGTAGTGTTGGTTGTCAAGGTGCTGGGTGGAGCGGGGGCTGGATTGAAGGTGTGCTTTTGAACGTCCTCCAAGCTCATGGCCAAAGCCTTCTTAAGATCCTCATCGAAAACATCATCAACTCGAGCATTTCGAGGCTGCATCGCCGTAGTGCTTCGGTGCTTGTGAGGATATGTTGGCGATCGATCCAGCTCCTTTTGCCCCTTCCCAGTAAGTTTAGCATAGCAGCCATCGTCAACTCGAACTGGAGTATGTATGCCGAGGTGAGGAAGAGGCACAGACTTGCTGGAACATTGCTGGTCGAAGCAGTTGCCGCAGTTTCTGCAGTGGTGCTTCCGGTTCGTAAAGGTAAACGGCGTTCGACATCGCATACAAACATCAGAATCGGCCCATTCGGGTGGCTATTTCGAATTAGTACGGCCTCAGAGTGGTTGTCAAAGATATCCGGGCTAAACTTACAGCACTGCTGTCAATCATGCTGCTGGCAACGGTCTGTCGTGGCGGGAACTGGTATCCCTCCCGTTGCAGATTCCGGTACACCTCGCCAATATAGGATAGGTCATGCCGACCATCAGTCGCAGCGGCCCAGGTCTGTATCAACTCCAAAATCTTCGACTTGACATCGGCATTGACGGCAACGGAGCCCACGGCTTGTAGAAGCGAGACAAGGTTGTCCATGAATTCTCGGGAGGCGATCTCAGCGAGGAAGTGTGACCCGCCATTCTTTACGCACGTATCTGTGAGCTAGGAGGATGTGAGAAACTGCTGCAGCGATATTTTTGGGGCCATGCAGGGTCGATCATACATTGAGAGCACTGAGCTGAGTGTTGGGATTCTTGTTTCCGATGCGCTTCTTGAGGGAGCGCATCGCCTCCTTCGGCGCAACGGTCTTCGATCTGATGACATCGGAAATCTCCAAATTCAGTGCGATATCTTCTCTAGAGAATTATTAGCATCAGGGAACCGGGGCCAGGAGAAGCCAAGAGAGCTGCGCACAAGCTACTGCTGGTAGCCTTCTCGATCTGCTCGTCCAAGGCAGCATTGGCCGAGGACGACCACCAGCTCATCATGTTTGGCTATCGTCGGTTTCACGTCGCGGTCGGGCGATTATCGCATCCACAGATGGTGTATGAATCTCGAAAAGAGGCTCTGGTATCGCGGGCGGCTCGAGGAAGATGAGTGGACGCTGACGCAAGCTGTTGGCAGCGCGGCTGTGATGGATAGCAAGGAATTAGGTTGACGGTTCCAGGCAGTCGCCTCTCTTGTGACGTTGATGGGGCGCAGACTCCACCGGCCTATGCAACCTCCAAGTAGCGAGGTACCTCGAGCGCTCAGGGATCACAAGCGTCAATAGTTGGTGGGTGATTATTTCTCGTTCAAATCTTAAAGTAGCGCCAAGGGGACTATCGTGTTCAAGGCAACTCTAGACTCTCACCGTCTGGTAGAGGTTGATAATAATATTACACCACCGAGGTGCCGATAGAATAGGTGGAACGTACCTGTGACCGAGGAACGCTGTGGGTTGTCTGCTCTCAGTGGACAGGCAGCGATGTATCAGGAGCTGCCCCAAGCTTCAGGTGGGATACATGCCCTGGGGGCTGGGCTGCTTGGCCCGGAGCTACAGGGTACGGACTTCGGACTACAGGTGAGTTAGTACGCAGTGCTACCGTACCGTATCCCAGGCTGATGACCTCGCCGCTTCCTCTGGCCAGGCAGCTTCTGGAACATCCGGGCATGAATAAGCGCCCGAAGCCGCAAGCACAGCCAGCTTCCGCTGGGATACGCGAGCCGTTACCATCATACAGACTTTCACTTCACGGCTTACCGCTGGCTGTTTATACTGATATTGCGACTTCTCCGCAGAAGATCTAGAGCTATCAAAAACCACACGACCAATCAACGTAGGTGAGCCGTTGGCCCCAGCTGTTGGTTCACCGATCCGAAAGCGGAGATTCTGGCCGTAGTGTTTGTACCTTACAAATTACTCTCAAGAGATGGCAGCCGGGAGCTGTCCCATGAGATGACGACTCGTGAGGTGGCTTGGGCTCTTTCTCGACGCGGACACCCGCGCTTGCGGGGGTTGACTGGGAAAGGTCGCTGTGGAGGTTAGCAGGCTATTCGGGGGGAACCTGGAAGGTTGGAGAAGTACCTAAAATTAGCGGCAAACATCACATCGTCTAAAGTACTGGCCCGCCTGCCCTGGTACCTTTCCTTGGCGACTGACGCATGGTAATCCAAGCCGTCCCAACCTCAACTTCCTTGTCCTCACTGTCCAGCATCATCCAGCCTACCTCACCGCAGAAAGTGGTTCCAACCTTCGCCTGCATATCTGTAGGCCACGATCGCACGGCCTGTCGGCGCATCGTGCACAATTTCAACGCCGTCCAGCATTGTTCCCGACCCAACTCCTCTCGCCCGCAGCCACTCTTCGAGGGAGTATGCCGAATCCAACAGTCACCGTGTAGAAACACGGCCTTAATTCTATCGCCAGTGGGCGGGCCATCCCCGAACGAAAAAGCGGTTTTCTATGTTCAGCTAGGAGGAACGTCGACGTCTTAGGGGTACATTCGTTACTGTTGCGAACGACTCTTGTTCCGACACCAGCGCACACGATCGAGGCAGGCTGCGCAAGCACTCGACTATCCCCCCGTTATTGCACACCATACCAGCTTGTCCATGACTTCAGCAGTGGGACCCAATCCTGCACCTGTCGGACCCGGTGGCTTTCGCCTCGACCCGTCCAACGAACACAATAGAGAGTTCCCTATGGCCAACCATGGTGCTGGCCATGGAGGCCCTCCCCATGGAGCCGCACCACTTCCCCATGTAGACGATATAACCGTCGTACCGAAAGACATTGATCCCAACCAATCGATGAAGAAATTACTCGAGACTGCAGAAGTGTCATTGCGGTCAGCAGAAGTGAGCCGAAGTTTTGGGCGCCCTGCGAACGCTTTGAGGGACTACGTGAAGGCGTATTACATCGTTGTTGTCACCGTTAAGAAGCACAGCGACTACCACGCTTTACACAGTGGCCGCAGCGAGCTAAATCGACAGCACACGTCATTATTGAGGAAAATCGACCAACTACACCCTGAGTATGAGAGGATAAAGCAGGATATCAAAGAGGACAATTCGAAGACTGGGGTCCAACCAGCTTCCAGACAGGGAACGCTTTCAAGGTCATCCGCCGACATACCCTCAGGATCGAGGCCGGCACCGAGCCACAATACAGCTGTGAACGGAGGTCAAGCCAAGGCGAAGCCCGTTGTTCACCCAAAGCCTCAGGCACTTCATGGAAATGTGATCAACGGCTCTCACAGCAAATCCCAGTCAATCTCTTCAGTCAACCAAGACAGTCTAGCGGCGCGTTTCTCTGCTCTCAGAGGCCCTTCGGCATCTCCCGGACAGGACCCGCGCATCAAGACTCATCCCATCCAGGCACAACAACCGCCAAAGCCAGCCGGCCCCCGCGAAATGCCCATCAGCCCAAAGGTGAATGCAAGTATCGGTGCAATGCCATCTTTTCCCAAGATGCCAGCTGCAATATATAGCCCAGTGAGAGGAAATATGTCCGAAGAAACAGCCAGACTACCGACAAGCACCCCCCGAGGCTTCAGCCGGACCAATTCAGCCAGCAGTACCCCAAGCACAACACCACAACCACCTAGCAAAGATTACTTCTCTCCAACCTTTACACATGCCTTCACTTCAGATCCTCCTGCGTTAACCCGAACATCTACGGGTGTTTCTTCGGCAATGTCTTCCCCAAGGCGCTCGTTAGATGTGGCACCAGGGGAATTAATCACAGCTCAGGAACTTTTTCAGTTCATGAAAGTCAAGGGATCTCTCTTGATTATTGATATTCGCAGCCGGCAGGAGTTTGACGACGGCCATATTATGACAACATCCATTATTTGTATTGAACCTGATATCCTGGCGCGGGAGAACATCACCTGCGATGATATTTCCGAAAGCCTTGTGCTCTCACCGAATCATGAGAAGCAGATGTTCGACAAGCGACATGAGTTTGATCTTGTTGTCATCTATGATGAAAGCTCGAGACGACTGCCATCCCCACCGCGGAGTGCGGAGGATATGGCCATCATGTCTCTCCACCGCGCTCTTGTGCACTTGAGCTACGGAAAAGAGCTTAGACAGGCCCCAAAACTCCTCAAAGGGGGCATCGATTCTTGGGTGGATCTGCTAGGACCTTCTTCACTTCAATACACTTCAGAATCAAGCTCCAACACTGCTCGTCTTATTCACGAAAGAGGCGGGTCGCTAAGCCGCAGGAAATCCAAGTACTTAGTAAAGCCGATGAAGCCTGATGATGTCAAGGCGTGGCAAGAAACTCTGGACAACGATAATTTGCAGACAGCATCCTCTCCAAACCTTTATCGTTCCACTGAAGAATTCATGCGGCGGTTCCCAGCCGTCTCCTTGGAACAGGAATCCATGACGGCGCCGGTTGCGAGGGTTGAGCAGCCAATTTATCCTGAACCGCCAACCAGGCCGCCCCCTCCGATCCCAAACAGAGCAAATCAATTTGGCGATCTTCCTGCTCCTCCTACGCGGCCCGCACCCGCAATACCGCGACCCAGCCATAGCGGACTGGCGATCGGGTCCGCTGGTAATAATAATAACACTCGCCAGGAGGTCATCGAGCAGCCCGCTCCTGATAATAACTTTAGACATTACACTGGTTTGAGCAATCCCCACAACTGGTGTTACGCAAACAGTGTTCTTCAGGCTCTTTTGGCATCCGAGTCAGGAAAGGAGCTGCTCAACTCGGAGTGGAAGCAAAGGTATCACGTCCCGAAGAAGAAGAATGAGAAAAGTGAGCAGCCGCAACTCATGATGCAAATTCTGTCCAATCTCTTCCATTGGATGTCAGCTGGCAACTTCAAAGCTATGAAGGCGGGGACTTTGATGGTAAGATAACCTATGTTTGATATTCTCGAGTTCAATCTCACTAACCTGTCTGTAATTAGAATTATTCGCGACATGTCAGTAACCAAGCTCGATCGGACGAGGTGTTTGGGGATCATAAACAGCACGACGCCCAGGAATTCATGTCTTTCGTTCTCACCCATCTGGATGATGAGACAAACGTCTACCGTGATCGAGAGGGATATCCTGCCGCACCAAAAACATCAGGCCAGTTGCTATTGCAAGCTGCCGTCCAGTATTGGAATAACCACTTGTCATACAGCTCATCCCTGGTTGACAAATACTGGCGTACCATTGAACTCTCTACCGTGATGTGCCACTCATGCCAGACGAGAACTTACTCTTGGAACACAGTTGATAGCATCAACTGCAGTGTTGGCCAGGGAGACACAACACTCGAGAAAATCCTCAGCTCACACACGCAAGGCAACGATCTTGACGATTACCGCTGCGATACCTGCCACGCCAATAGAAGAGCGACCCAGTCTTTCTCGTATCCCCGGATGCCTTCGGTATTATGTGTCGTTCTCAAGCGGTTCGGGCACGATGGATATGGCGCCACCAAGTCATTGGCAAATATCACCTGGGATCTGAATGACCTCGATATGGCGCCCTACTTCCTCCATCCTTCAGATTGCGAATATGACGGCTACATCGAGGATAAAGCTTTCACCGCCCCCTTCCGCTATGAGTGCTATGCCGTCGTAGAGCACACGGGAGGGAGTGCCCAGTCTGGACACTACACAGCGTTCGTTCGGGATCCCCGCACACATGATCCCTCCGCGTGGCTTTACTGCAACGACGCATACGTCGACAAGGTCCGTATGGACAACCCGAACGAGAAGCGACGGCTGTTCAAAGATGGCAACCGTGTGCCATACATTGCCTTCTTCAGGAGAAAGGGTGGCTCCTAAGCTTGGAGAAGAGAAGCACCCCGGGATGTTAAAGATTTCCTTCGTACAGGCAGTTTCCAGCTCCAGCCGCAAACTTGCAGGGGCTCGGGGGGTTCTTTGATTTGGTTGGGATTGCACGTGTCAGCAGATTTGTACATATTTATACACCTCGACACATATAGATGACCAGGATAATAAGCATGGCAAGGGCGTTTCGCATTTTGAGGTCATTTGAGGTTGATGGGTAGGAAGGGGGGGCGTCTTGAGCGGCTCATGAAATGCATTGTGACTAGCAGGCTATGCTTAGGTTTCTCTATCAAGTACTTTAAATTTTACGACTAGCTTCGCTCCATCTCCTCCAAGCATGTGGTGACAATATCGTCGTCGTTGAAACAGGAGCTCTATAAAGCCATCAACACGAGCTTTCCTCTCATCTTACCACGTCAAAAATCTCATACATGCACCTTCATATACATACAAATTCACGGGTTTGGCACATCAGAGCATTTAAGCTTAACAAATATATTATAGATTCTCAGCGCCCAAAGAAACTCTGCATAAGGGGTTACATTCCGAGAGACATTAGAGCCAAAAAGAAATAGAAAAAAACACACTAATAAATCACAGCAAGCAAAACAGGCGCCCAGAAGCGTGGGTATTGATGGAGAGGGTAGAGAAGTGCGTAATGTGACAAGGGGGATTTTCGAGAGTTCCACAAATACACCGTGCAAACGATGCTGGGGTTTTAGTTGGCGGCCTTGAAAGCGTCGTCGATCTGCTTCTTGAACGTTGAGCGGATGGTACGTCTGTTGAGCTTCTGGGTACCAGTGACGAGACCCTGATAGGAAATAAAAGAGATTAGCCATTGATGTACGCTCTTGTGGTGGATTTAGTTCGATTAAACTTACGGTAGGAGGAGTCCACTCTTCTTCTGTGATGACGACGTTGCAGATGATCTCGATTCCGGTGAGGCCAGCGCGGCGGCCGGTTGTCTGGAGATCCTTGAGAACCCAGCCAACCATCTTAGGGTGGTGGTACATATCATGCTGGTCAATGCCGAGCTTCTGGGCCTCATCAAGGAGAACCTTCTCGTTTGGCATGATGACAGCGATGGGCTTGGGGTAGGCCTGGTCGGCATGCACCATCAAGTTGGCAACGGTGTGAGCGCCACGGTACACGGCCTCGAGCTTCTCGAGAGCGATGTACTCGCCACCTTGCATCTTAATGAGGTTCTTGACACGATCGATGACCTTGAGATGGCCAACCGAGTCCCACTCTCCAATATCACCCGTCTTGAACCAACCATCTTCGGTCAAAGCCTTGGCAGTCTCCTCTGGGTTGCCATAGTACTCAGTAAGAGTAGGCTTGCCCCTGATATAAATCTCACCCTGGGGTGGGTTGTTGTCGGTAGAGTAACCAATGTCAGGAATAGAGACGAGCTTCACCTCAATGGATGAAGGGACGGGGCCAATAGCATTAGGAGTGTATTGGAGGGGGGAGCCCAGGGCACCGTTGGCGCAAGTCTCTGTGAGACCGTAACCACCCAACATGGGCGCAAGGACGAGCGAAAGGAAGTTCTTGGTGTCGTCGGCAACGCCACTAGCGCCGTTCATAGTGAACCGCAGTCGCCCGCCAGTCATGTCTCTCACCTTCTTAAAGACAATGCCATCAAGCATACTGGCTCCAGGGAGACCGTTTTTCGTCATGAAGCTCTTATAGTTAAATGCTCCCCAGAAAAGAGATCGGAGGACAGGGCTGGAAGAATCGAGCTTGCTGATGACACCCTTCTTCACGGTTTCCCAGACCTGGGGGACACCGACCATGACGGTAGGTCGGAGTTCACGCATATCACCGGCGCAGTTGCGGACAGATGTGTCGGAGAGAGTTCGGGCGTTACCGTAGCCGAGGGTGCCACCGATAAAGAGCACCAAGTTCTCGAGGGCCATCTCGAAAATATGCGCCGAAGGCAGGTATGCGAGGATGACTTCCTGGTCGCTAACACATTCCTCAACGCACTTGTAAAGACCGGTAACTGCAACACCATGGTTAGAGATGAACACATGCGGATTCTTTGTTGAGGGGACCTACCAGCAGCAACAAGGGCTTCGTGCTTGATGGAGGCACCCTTGGGCATGCCTGTTGAGCCTGAAGTGTACATGATGCAGTAAAGGTCCTCGGGCTTAGCTGGGTTGGCTTCGACGGGGTTCTCTTCACCCAACTTGCGCAGTTCTTCGTAAGTGATGACCTTGATATCAGGGTTGTTCTTCTTGAACTCTTCAATCTCGCCGCCTTCGGTAAAGATGGACTCCTCATTGACAATGACCGTCTTCACCTTGGATTTGCGGATAGGGCCTTGGGCCGTCTTTAGCAGGTGAGGGTCGGTGTACATGGCATCGGCCTCAGTCTGGTTAAGTGAGTGCGATACACCATCCTCTCCCAGAGTGTCGTATGCCGTCACAATGGGGATGGACTGTGTTGCGCAGGCATGAGCGGTGGAAATCCAGTTCGTGCTATCAGGGTAGCACCAGGATTAGCCTCGTGCAACGTGATAGAAAGGCGCGCTTCGTGGAGCAAGATTCGTGCAACGAGAAATGTTCAAGGGCGTGAATGGAACTCACCTAGTGGTAGCAAACAAGTGAAGTTTTTGCTCGGGATTCAGGCCGATCTTTCGAAGACCGGAGCCAAGCTGCAGCACGAGGGTCTCGTACTCCTTGTAGGTGATGAAGGTGAAGGGTGAGAGCTCGAAATATTGCCACTCCTTGTCAACCTCCTGGGTCTCGCCATCGACAATCTTCTTGATCTTCTTGGTCTCCTTGTGAAGCTTGATAAGCTTTCGCTTACCAACGGCGGTGTGGTTTGGGTATTCGCGGGCGCTTCGGCGGACAATGTCCCAGACAGTGTAGACATCCTCTGCGGGTCTGTCGATGAGGCCGTCCTTGGCCTTGAAATGGCGACGAGGAATGGTCTCGCCCTCGATCTTGGGGGCACCGGGCACGTCAACTGTGAAAGGTGGCTTCTGCACCTGGTGCAGAGGCATGATACCTGACTTGAAATCCATGGTGGGCGGCGGGCAGGCGGCGACGAAGGGAGGTTGGAAAAGTTAAGCACGGCAGCCACAGCAAGAGGTTCGCGACAGCCCAAGGGTCGTCGAAGGGGAATTGGGGGGAGAAATCGGTGGTGAAGGGCTCAAGACAGGCGGGCAGCAATAGTGGGAGGAGGAAAAAGACAGACGGAGGAGGGACGGGGAATGGATAATATTAAACTCGGTGGTGATGAGGATGGAGGACTGGCGCGCGCACGACGGACGGCCTCTGCCTTGGGAAGCGGGCTGCAAACTGGGGCAAGGTCCAGGTGCGTCAGGTAGGGGCCAGAGCTTCCCATTGGCTGGGCGGCTGGAAGTCTGGGGATGCTTGGGAGCTTGCATGTACCGGTACAACGCCGCCGAGCCAGCCAGTGCCATCTAGTGCATCCAAGCTGAATTTACAGCGAGGGCGGCGCCAACGCCACCACCCACTCCGCCCTGCACCGCCTGTAAGGTTAGCACACACTACGCGACGCCAAAGCCTAAGCAGAGGCACGTTGGAGGCCTGGAGCTTCCCGTGCCCCAAGACTGCCTTCCGGGCTGATCTCAGCCAACCAAATCCGCTGCTGCACGACAGTCCTCGAGGATCGGTTGATAAGGTGAGGAGTCGGGCTCCTGACAAATGTCTGGGAGCCGAGAGCTGTCAGGGCCCCCAACAACGGGAACACGCTTTCGCAGTCGCCGTCGCCCATGGCTCTGGATGGATTCCCACGATGGAATGGCCGCACCCTCCAGACCACGGGGCCCTCTCCAGAAGCTTGTTTCTACTACCTGCACACATATTAAAAGCCAGGTCACCAGGGCACGCCTGCAATGGGCGCCAAGCTTGCTGGGCGAGGGGGATTCAGCGCCACATCTAAAAAAGGCGTAAAGCAGAGCCATGTACAGTACAAGGCCCCAGGGCCGGTGCTCCACCTGAGCTCCTCAACAAAGCTCCACGATGACGATTTGATACTAGACTGAAGCAGGTTGTGTTCTTGGCACGTTGAGGGCCAGACCGGAATTAATAACTGATCTCCAGCGGACTGCACATAGTCCTCGGCAGCTCGGGCGCTCTACGTAATCAATCGTCTATCAGTCCAGCATCCGCGCGATCCATGCGAATGGAACATCAAGTTTCTGGGTCCGCCATCACCCTTTTCGCCTACCTCACGACCCAAGCCACGTATGCACCAGCGAGGTTTAAGGACGTGAAGTACTTCCGCGGGCTGTTCCTGGAGCCAAGGTCCCCGCAAACAATGGATGTCAAGTGTGACCGGACCCTTGACTGCTCTTCATTTACCTTGCAGGCCTACACACAACCGACCTAGGAATTAGAGTGTGTGCCAATGTACTATTGGCTTCGGTGCCGGTCAGGATGTGAGCCTATCCTTTGTGTGACATGCCATGGCTTATTGCCAAGATTAACCTCCCTCCATCACTTTCCCAAACATTGATGTAGAGGCGTCGTCTAGAGGTGCGGGGAAGGAAATTACTATTGGCAAGCCAAGGTCATGACCAACCTAATGTGACCAGAACATCCAGCTGCGCCCACCAACACGCCAGGTCATATTCCTGTCTCTGTCCATGGTTTTACGTATCCATCACGTCTGCCCACCATCTCTTCACACCGGGTGCCAACTCGATGATGCGGCCTCCCAGGCAGAGGGAGTTGCACCTGCGGCACTCCCTGGCGCCAACGTATCCCACCACGCCAACGATGCAAACTTCGGGATGCGAGGGCCTCGGCTGATACTGTGGCCGAAGGTGGCGTAGTTGAGATTGTTGGGGATTTGGGGATTCGTGTCGTGTTCTCGTGATGCATGCTGCCTAAAGCTTACTCCCTCCGGGTCCGACGCTGCCTGCCAATCCAAGGCATCTGTCGAAGATGAATAGCAGAGGATCTGCTTGGAGATCTGCCGCTGATTTGATGCTGAGTACGGGGAGGCAGCCCCTAGTTCGACCAGGGCAGTGTCCATTCACACAGCATTGCAGGCCCTCCAGACTTGGCCACATCCCCTAGAGCTGCATTTGGTGGTCCTCCATTCTGGGCTTTATTTGTGGGTACATATCAAGCAGCCATTTTGACAGCTGTTCTGTTGGTAGGCAGATCACAGCTAATAGCTCCTAGCTGGAGATCAGTGCTGCCAGGCGAGGGATACACCTCCCGGTTGGCCTCATCCAAGTGACGCCGTCGGGTATAGGGTATGCAGCCGAAAGTGGCATCAACGCTCGGCGACATGAAAAGCAATCGACTCCAGAGCGCAAAGTTCCAATTGTGCATCAGTCTAGCAGCAATATTACCAGGTTACCAACATAGGAAGAGTGTCACACCTCCGGGGCCTTGGCAGCACAGCCGTAATTCGTTCGTCTCAGACGGCCCCTCCATTGCAACTTCCCTAACCCGCAGCCATCTCGCTTGAGGTGACGATCTTCTCCTTTTCCTCTTCCAGCTTTGCTCCCGAGGCTGCGCTCAGCATTCCTCGGCCACGGACTTGACGATAGCTTCAATCACATGCGAGCGCAATTAGATGCAGACTCGCCCGCCCCGTCCAACGGGGCCGTGGGTGCATGAGATAGAGGGAGGAAATAGGGCTCGTTTATGCCGAATCCTTGCAGCAAACCGCTGCTCATCGGCGGACCCGGCCAGTTTGAGCCTTCCAGCATCCTCATTAGGGAAGTGCCTTTTGCTATCACCAGCACAATCCACATTTGACTAATGCCACTTAAATTCCCGGCCTGAGGCGGCTCCTTGATCCATCCTTGCTAGCGAAATCCTGGAGCCCAAGTTCGACATCAAAGCACCGCAAACAACGGGTCGTTCTTTTTCTGAAATTGAAATCCTCCATACAGGTCCATGCGACCCCGGTTCGCGCTGTCCTGCTGGGTATCTATTCCAAAGCCAGGGACAATTCCTGCCCTTTCGATCCCGGGATTATCATGATTGGACTATCAATCCGCCGAGCACCTTTCCACCTGGCGCCTGCACGACATCGTAGCAATCATTTTATAGGACCCTCATGTTGCATCCTGGTCTGACCGATGGAATTTCAAACTCACCGGCTCCACCATCTCGGCGGCTCTTCAATTGGACAGAACCTAGAAGGATGGCAATATTTGTCTATTTCGGCCTTCGCCACTTTATTCCTCCTTTTCTAGTCACTCCAGTGGCGGGCATGACCCCCGGCTCCCTCGAGAAAGATGCGGGTCTGATCGCGAGTCTCACTGCCGGTGCTCCTTGCTCTTGAAACTTCGAGCTCCACGACTCTTCTCGAAGGTGTGGAGTCGAAGCGCTTGTCTCAAGCTATTCCTTCCATGTGGATGACCAAGACGCTCATGTAGGTAGAGAGATACCACCAGGCACACAATGTGCGACGCGATGGGATACCTGCTCTGACAGCACAACATATCTGCGACATCTCGGATCTAACCGTCCTGTCAAGCCAAGCCAAAAATGAACGGAACCTGCATGGTGTCAGGCCAAAGGTTCCACAGGGCGAAAGCGAACACCAGCCAACGGAAAGCGTGATTTCCTCTTCCAAGGACTCTCAAAAAGGACATGTGCCAGCAGAATTGCAAGGAACAGGAATCTTGATGATGCCGAAAGAGGTTCCACATCGCCCAAAATCAGGTGTTTACCGGGCTGCCAGCGTCGAACTGCGGCCATTGTGCTATGTAACACAAACAGATGCGAGAAGCGCCTATCAGCTCACTTTTTTCCTCTCTAGCTTGGGTGCAGAGTTGACGAACTTGTCCCTGCATCTGATGCAGATCATCAGCCAAGACCCCTAAAATCTGTCCAGAAGGGAAGGCGACTTTGACAGGGACGGGGGTCAGCCAACAGATTCCCTCCCCCTATCCCGAATTGCACGCGCAGTGGTTCAGACGTAGTTTTCTGAAGGTCGTAGACATAAACTTTCGGTTGTATGAGAGCTATTGACTTTCATAAGTCAATTGCCCGTTGGGATGGACCGCTCGTTTTAATGATACATGCCTTCTCAGCTTGCATGTAGGATATGCCTCCTAAAAGTGCATGTAAGCCAGAGAGTCCATTTTAGGGTACCACGTGGTAGATTGTACAAGTTCGCCTTCTCTTTGCGGTCTTTCAAGCCATTTAATATATCCTAAACAGATCATTCCTTTCTGAAAAGTCCCCAAAGAAGGTAGTGACCGACTCACGTACCTCTTGAAAGTCCCCGGTTCGGTTGATGTGCGGCGTAGATACTCTAGATTTCAAGTGACTAAACCTTTTTATGATTTCCAGTCAATGGGTGACATTGAAAATGAGACACTCAAATATTAAGCTGCTTATTTCAAGTCCGCGGCCGGTATTATCAAATTTCTGAGTATTAATAATACCTACCTAGGAGACAATATAGCGTATGTTATTACTTGATTTCGTGTCATACTGTCAAATTTCTCTACTAATCGTAGCAAACAGTCTGTCTATAACCAACTCTTCCATTGGATGTCTCATTTCTCTTGCCACTCACTTGCCAGTGAACAAACCTGAAGCCACACGATTTACCTACTTCAGTTAACCTAGAGCTCCCTCTCTTGAAAAAAGCACCACCCTCAGGTTGCAAACTTCATCTCTTCCAATAGAACCAAAGGGGAATAAATTGCACGACGATAGTTGTGAGAAATCAGAGACACATGCTAGCCGGGATTAGAAACTTTGAAGATTGAATGCATGGGAAACCGGGATTGTTCTTGGGCGTCCAACTCGTTGTTTTTCTAAAATGTGGGATCGATATTCGCCAAAATATTGACCCTTATTTTATCATTGAATAGCTTCCCAGGAAAACAGCATCACCAGCAGGTTCAAGATCAGTTCAAGCACTCTTGTAGAGATGAATCATAGCACAAACCTAGACATTTGCTCACAGGAATCTCACGCATGCAACTCAGAACAACAACTAGGATCACGGTGAACATGTTATGGAACTCAACCGTAGCCCCTGAAACCCAACACGCCCACAGACGATGTAAAATACAAACCTATGATGTAGAATACAATAAAATCAGGGATCGTACGAAGGCGTCCAGTTAAGAAATTGGGATCACTACCAAACTTTTAGATAGTGAGATCCCTTCTCAGGTGGCGTCCATGAAAAGGGACGTTGAAGCCTGCACCTTTGTCGACCGACTCTCCAAGTTGACCGCTGGGTTCCGTTCAGCCTCTTCGCTATGGCCAGTGCCCCAACACGAAACTTCTCTTGGGGCGCCTACTTTTAACATCAACCTTGGAACATTCCTGCCGTGGTCGGTTCCATCGCGAAGGGTGCTCTTGTCGACACCAACCCAAAATTGGACGAAAGACGGTCCTGAATAAACCTGTTAGATAACTTGACCTTATTAGAGAAACGTAATCCCCCAATGAAAAATGGGAGCTTAGGTGCAAAGGCCGAGGCTTGCCTGCTTGGCGAAGAACCTGATAATCGTTCCGGTTTCTGGGCGAATCTCTTCTACTTGGCCAATGTCCATATCTTCTTCGACGAAGATACCTCTAGGCATCCCCATCCTTCCGCTGGCACTGTTGGAGAGCTATTGATATATGAGACGGGATCGGTTGGCAAAATGGTCGCAGGCACTACTTACTATAAGTCTACGAAGTTCTGGTTGCAGACTGAAGTCGTACATGGCATCCGCGGCGACGAGACGTTCTTCAGCCTGGAAAATCGAGATTGAAACGCTGTTATGGAAATTTTTTGACTCTTATCTAGTTTGAGCTACCCAAAATAAGACTTTATTCCGAGAAGTGTGAGTGGTGAAATTGAATGCCTAAGATCCGCGACGGATGCTCTCCCAAATCCCGGTTGTGAAATGAAGTGATGACATCAATGTATGGCATTTATGAGAGTTAAAGTCCATCCTGTCGTCCCAATGTGCAGTGGTAGAAAGGTATACAGCTCTTGAGACTCCGAAAACGCCGATCCTCTAGTCTTGCCGTGTAGAGAGGACGCCCAAGTACTTGCGGAAACCAGAGACCTGGGGCCTCTATTTGTTTGATGCTGTTTGCGGTTGCAGAATCACTCAAACTAAGCTGGCACCTGAAGATCGGTATTGAAACCATCTTGAGTGCCTGGTTGTTCCCGCACAAGACACAGTCAACGCTTTTGTAACCTAGGACAATATCGGAGGAGGGGCTAGGTACACATGTATTTAGGCCAACCTCAATTCTTTCAAGGACACCTGTTGGATGTATAATTACCTGTTTAATGAGGTGCTTGTGATCCCCAGTCCAGTCAGATAATCCACCCGGATCGCAGTAGACTCGAACTCCACGTAGAGCATGGTTGTCTAGATACAGGTGAAAGCCCTGTAATTATACCCCCCGGAACTTGGAAGCGCGGAATCAGGAAGCCAAAACTCTGTTTTCAGTAGCAGTATCCCCGATATAATGCTGAGATGATTGGAAAATAGATAGAGACTTCTTATGATCAATAGAGACAAGAGAAACATGAACCTCGCCGATTATTTCTCCGCCAGGAAAGGTAATAGAGTCTCCATAAAGGAGCCGACTTCCATGGTCAAAGTACTCATTAAACGATATGAGCTCGCTCTGGACAGTCAAGTAATTTTCCTTTTGGTTTGGCCGTACATTTCCTGAATCACTGCACTGATATTAGGAGACCTTTCTTTTAAAATAAGCCTCCAGCCAGCTGATTCGATAAGGAAACATGCAATATCCCTTCAGCTTCTGATATTTGCCCTTACTTGGGGTGTGTTAAGTCCCGCTTGTAGAAGCGGCCGGCCTTCATATAACTCTCCTTCCACTTACTTGATCTATATTGAAATACAAAGGAACAGGTAAAGGGATACAGATAGGAAAATTGGCGGCTAGACAAAATCTAGGCCACCGAAAGGTTGAACGTAAAGCCAAATTTGCATGCTCCCCTTATCTTCTACCGACTGAGCTTCTTCTTGAGATCGCGATGCGGACACCGATGAAGGACTTCAGGGGCTTGCCGCATAGAGCTGTTGCGAAGGAGGAAATTCTTTGGTCTCTCTAAATCAAGAAAAGCGGAGATTTCGTTCTCCAAACCACAACTGTCAATGTTATCTGTATATCTAGAGATCGTGTCATGGTCCGTCAACAGATATTTCCGGCGATTAGGTTGTTAGGGAGACTGCAAAAGTCAGTGCCCATTGCCGTAGCTACGGCTGCGGCGTATGGAGTTCCTGAAATCCTCTTCTTGGGTCTTTCGCGAAACCAGAAAGATTGATCCCAATAGCCCCGATATTATACGGAATCCTAGAGAGATGATGTTGTTTGGCAAGGAACACTGCCAAGCCTATTGGTCGCCAAAACGATCACACCATCTGCCGGCCGGTGTGCATTGCGATGTTTGTGGGTATTGGGTATGGCAGTGACGGCCAATTGGATTTTTTGGGAGGTTTCTGAGTTGTCTATAATCTTCTGGCATGGGAGATCTTCCGGACTCAGGGTTGATACAAGGACGCCTCTAACATCCGCATATTCGAGCTAAACTGAAGAGGATGATTATCCCTTTGACCTCTTTAAAAATCAACCTGGGGACGTAGTTAATGCTCCAAGAGCGATGCTTGCTTACGGCTGCCGTGGGAGACATGAGATGGTTTTCTTTCTGGGGGGTTTGAATTCTAATATAACTCATTTTTTCTGGTATGATCATATATGTACTGCCAGGTATGGTTATTTTAAGATGAGAGACACGGCGGGCTGATCATGTTTTAACGGAAGATATCTCATACCCCTTTTGAATTTTCAGGTCTTGCCCTGCTGGCTATGCCTGTTGCTGGGTGAAAGGTTGTTGAGATAGCAGCACCTAAGCCAACTTGTTATGCATGGATGTCCTATCTAGATATAAGATAATTACGTTGGTGTTTTAATCACGGTAAGCGATTCTTCGAGTTTTAAACTTCGAACTGACATCGAATAGACATCGCAGCTACACAAGTTCCGCAGTCGAAACTATCATCATGATGGCTAGAACTAGCTTTCACATTTAACCTGATGATCAGATTTGGGAACTACACAGTAGATCGGATGTTTTACAGAGAATTCAGGTATGGCATCGTTTGACTTTCTCTTGACAAGCAGCCTGGGTCTCGAGCTTTTGACCAAACGACGGCCTTGTGGGCGTTGTCTCTCCAGACATGGTGTTCGAGCTACGAGACTGAGGGGGGACAAGGCGCAACCCCTTTCAAGAGCAGAGCACTCTACACATAGACTATGCTCACAACTACAATAGCAGTTGGCGTCTGACTCTAGAACCAGCCACAGAAGCAAGCCAGAACCAGTGGAGACCCCTATTCCAAGGCAAGACACAAACGGTGGTTCGGTTTCCACAACATCCTCAACCTACGTTGCACCCACCGCCTCTCGTAGACCTTCCGAGCCTGGTAATGGCCTCTTCGGGCGACCACCCGACCGCCACGCAAATAGAAAGGGATGGTCGATACGGATCAGGCGAAATCGAACGCCTCCCCGGAGTCCCTGATGAGAATACCGCCACCCCACGAGCTACAACAACTACAAGGCTGACTCGTACCTTTCGAGCTCGAACAAACGCACCAAAAGGTAAAGGGGGGCGTGTGCGCCCATCCCAAGACACACAACCCGCGTCATGGAAACCCCAAAGGAAACCCGTTCCGCTTCCGAAACATGAAGTACAGCAAAGCACGATTCAGGGACGACGGAGGAACCACGCGCCGCAAGGCTAAATAAAAAGCTGATCCGGCGGTATGTGGGCAAGGGCTGGGAGCCAGCACGGGTTTCTCCCGCAATGGCTCGATCAAGCAAAAGACGGGTAGGGGGAAAAGCCATGCTACATGGCGTCAAGGTTTTTCCCACAACGTGGTGGTGGGCATCGGAACTGTGGACCGATGCTGTCGGATCGCCGCCGCACTTGTTTCCGGATGGATTTGGAAATGTTCTAGAAGGCAGAAAAATTGTTCTTGAGGATGATCAAACAGAGTTTGGACCAAGGCTGCGGGATGGAGGGGGGGATCAGGCAGAGTGCATTTCGTCATGTGGGCTGGGGGGGCATGAGACCAAGGCTTGTCGCTAGAGAAAGGTTGTGACCATTTTTGCTTTCTTCCTCCGTCATCCGGGTTAAAGGGATTCGCTGCGCTTTTCCGGCAGAAGTGTTAAGCTTCGCTGGTTATGTGATTCCGGGATTGCCTACCGAGAGTGTATTTACACGATGGCATCCTCATCCCAGGCTCGTATGAATGACTCACGAGTGAAGACAAGTGAGCAGGATGAACTCTTTGAGAATGAGCGCCAATAGCATCGCAGGCGTACATGTATATGCAAAGGATTTTATCAAATAAGCAAAGGAAGAAAAAAGCAATGTTCGATTCGGCGAGCTATTGTTTTCAGCAGTTCTCACTTGAGGCTGAGGCGTGCCTTGCATATGCAACCCCTCAAGTCCCCAAGCACAGGTGACAGGAACCGCGCATCATACATGATCACCACATCACGGCTACTGGCGGGGTTTGCTCGGTGATGGCAAATACAAAGTACTTGGGTTGTTGGAGGCAAGAAACACAGTTTCAACCAACGCCCATTGTCCTTCTAGCCTCACTCCTTATTCCCGGCGAGCTCATAGGGCTAAACAGCGCAGGCAGAAAAGACGAGGGAAGCACACACCCTCTGAAGCCCAGTCAACTGTCGGCAAAGATTTTTCTGCTGGCCGAACCTTGGAAGCATGCAAGCGTCAGCTAGAATACGGAGTCTAGGAGACGGTGAGCTCTTAGGATGAGTTGGCCGGCGGTGGTGGTGGAGGGGGTGTGGACGGGAAATGCACGGAAAATGTCGGGCTTCTGCCGGCCTTTTCTTTTGTCCGTTTCGGTCAATTGCCTGCCTTCCATGAGCCAGCATGTGAGAGGCTGCATAGCTGGGCGAGTTAATTCGCTCTAGCTGGACGAACTACTCGGCCTCTGGCTCAATGACGATCCAGTGCCATCCACCATCCGCGGGCAGGGTGCTGCTCGTTAGCTACCGATTAACCTCACAAACCCATAATTATGGCCCATCGCGACGGAGCACCCTGGATTGGGTCTGAGGCAGGTTGGTACCGTGGTCTGGCTCAAGCGGGTGAGTGTCCTGCATATCCGAAATGGAGGGCTCACACACCCCTCCTGATTTGGGTCCCAATTCCTTCTGGCCTAGCCGCGCTCCATATCTGTTCCTGTTGTCTTCCTTCTCTCTCTCGAGTCCGCAGACGTCCATCACATGCCGCCCCCGTCTCTAACGAAATTGGCGCTGCCCACGAGATTCTCCCGTCGATGCATCATATTCAACCCACGCGGGGGGACCGCCACCCATGCGCCTAGCCACCTCGCGCATGCGCTCTAGTCATGTAGGGAGTATCAGGTCGCCAATTAAGATTACCTGCATACGAGGCGCATCAGGGCTCTGGCATTGAGCTCGTCCGGAGGGTCATGCGAGCGAGTGAAACGGCCAACGCGATTGCGGTTGCCAATGGCAGACGTGCTCGATGGCATTACCCATCAGAACGGACGGCAGAAGGCCGAAGGAGCAGGGACCAGGCCGGGAGGTGAAGCCCCAAAATAAAACTAGGCAACAAAAATACTTGACTCGCTCTTATTACTGCCCACCACCCAAACCCTGGTGCATGTTTGGGAGTTTCCGGCAGGGATTGGTAGATCATGTGAAAGAGAGGAGGTGGAGGAATATGCGTGGTCGATGTGGGGGTCAGGAGGGCTTCCGGGCCAATGAGAAATATAAAAAAGAAAATGAATAAATCCAATGGCCAAACGAGGTGGATGCCCACGTGTGAAGGAAGCCTTCTAGAATACCCACCTCTGGCAGCGCTAGAGGATGCTGCTTGCCTTCCTGATTGAGCCTCCGTTTCCCTCTCTTTCGCGAGCAGGAGAGTGCGAGGCAAAGATGGCAAGCGAGGGCGCGTGCACCTGCTGGTCTGGGGGCTATGTATGTCCATCTTATGCGTGGGAGCGTACGTGTTCATGTAATGCAATCCTGCCACAAGGTCATCCGCATGTAACGACATCGAGTGCATACGCTGGGTGCAAAGATCCCCATTCCCTCTTTGGCTAATCTGGCGATCTGAACCCTCAAAACTGGAAGCCGGATTGGCTTTATTGGGGTAATTTGGGAGGGGTGTGTCGTCTGTAGCCGACTTGAGCGTGAGTAGAGGCTCACGATAGTAACCGCACACCTCGCGCCTATCAGCATGTTGAAACGAGATCTCTAGTTCAATGGAGAGCCTGACTCACCTGAACACGGCGCGAGGAATTTGGCTTCCGCCCATAGGTAGGGATTAAGGTAATTCCCTCTAGCTGCCATGTATCAATTGCCAGAGTTTGGAGAGGCGTGTATGTGCTAGTGCAGCTCGGAGCAGCGCGTCGTGCAGTGCAGTGCAGTGCAGTGCAGAGTGCAGTACCGCCCGTACTGGCCGCTCACGGCAGCGCACCTGCAAAACCCCCCACTGATCACCGCTATTGCCGGCGGCTTACAGCACCCTCTGCGCTGTGGCTGAACACCGCCAGTGCTACTGGGGGCACTTGACCGCTTTGATCTTCCTCCCCGGATGGGGTCGGCTGGAGGGTTTGCGGATGCGGATGGGAGCCGCACCTCGCGGCATCCCTCTCATCAAAGCTAAACCGGACCATGTGTTGGTCGTCGGTGGCTGACTTTCATCCAAGGGTTTCCCCAGGCCGTCACTCTCACCAAGACGCACCAACGAGCCTTGCCAGATTGCGGAGCCGGTCGAATAATACGATCCCCAGGGGGAAAGGGGGGCGTGCATTGCACACACGAACCTGCTAAGGGACTCAAGTTCAATTGGGGCGGGAATTCTCGGCCGCCAACGCAAGGCCAGGAAGTCTGCCCTTGCGGCATTACGGATGCTTCAGCATCCGCCACATTGGTTTAACCGGTGAAATAACCGATTTGGATCTGGAGCCCGTAAACCCCAGCCGGGGGAGGATGACCCCGGATGTTGTGACGTAGGTTCCCTCCACACCACGAAAGCCACGGCTGACACTCGGAAATGTGCCTGCTTTGCCTCCCATCCTCCCATCGGAATCAGCCACCCACCCCGCCGGAAACCATCCCTTCAGAAACATCGGAGAATCAGTTGAACCACCAGGCTGAGTAGATAGCGTACGGGCACAGCTAGCAGCGAATTCATGAGCCACCAGCGGATATTCCCCCTCCGGCACCACAGGCGACTCGTGACACCTGCAGCGGCCATGTGGTCTCGTCTGTCCTTCCTCGTTTCGTAATTAAGGTTCCGGCTTCCAGAAGTAAAAACCCCCCATCAACTGAAATTAGGTACTCTCTCTCTCTCCCTCTACAGGGCGGACAAGCGCCGTGCTTGGACACCCCCTCCCCGCAAAGCTTGCACTGTCCTAGCCTGGAGCAAGAGGGTAGCTCGCGACGAGCAATTGGTGCGGGCAAGGTTCGGCAACTGAGTACTCTCTCGGAGGCGCATCCCCTGGGCCGAAGCATGATGACCCCAGAGCCGTTCTTCAATTTCCATTCCCAGGCAAGCAAGAACTGAGTTTGGGGTACGCTAGTTACGTACTGCTTTCAGTCTCTTTTTGCGGGAGGAGAGATAAAATCGAATTAATTAAATTCATCGAAAACCGGGGTCTTCATTTTATTGTCCCTCCGTTAATTGCCGTTTCGCTTCGCGCTTAATTCCTAACTCCCCGGGGAGTCACAAGCGGCATGTATCCGTCGCTGACCCTTCAGCAGTGCCTCCATACTATATGCATAATGCACGGTGGGAAAACGGGGAAGGGGCGGGCACCATCCAGAATGTCGGTGAAAGCTCGCCGTGCTTACGAATGCACAGCGTTTGATTTCTTTTGCGGTGTCTCCAGTCTCATGTATATGCATCCTCGGGTGATATGTAATAAACGGCATTCATGCACATTGCGGTTGGCTTGTGATAAGCAAGAGAAAAACGAGAGAGCGAGCTCCATCCAACATGCCGGAAGGCTGCCGCGTAGTGTCACAGGGCCAACACAATGGAGCCAACAGGCCCTCTTGCGGCTGATTGATTGCAACCGAGTAATAATAGACGGGCGGTCAAGAGAAAGAAGAAGAAAAAAAGGGCAGGGACAAGGACAGCCTACCGAGCCAATGTAAGGAAAAAGCTCAGCAGGACCAGCCACGCTGCGCGGCGCGGAAAATGGCTCGTCCTATGTAGGGATTTCACAGCCATTGAGACAGGCGGTGAAAAGACATATTACATATTACAGCGCACGACAGAGGGAAGCGAAGGGGCCTCTAGGTTCGAGCGGAACGGCCATGCACTCTACCGTTCCGAATAGCGCGCAGCAGGTGAAGGGTCCCCTTGTTAGAAATCGCCGCCCGGCAGGATATCTGCATGCGGCGTGCATATGTACGAGACTGGTCCCCTACATCTGCAGCGACACAAAATCGCTTGTCTTATTCCCAATCGGAGATACGTGGCCCAACGAAAAAGCGGAACTGCGAAGAGATTTTTCCATTGAGAAAAAGAAAAAGCTGGCAAAGGATTCAAACGAAATTAATGAAAACAGGCTTGCTCGAGTGCGGTGCGTCTTTACGTACACGGCCTGCTCAGTGACGCTGGACATGTCACTGTCCATACTCCGTAGAGATTCCCCCATTTCCAGAGTTCAGCTTCGTGCTGGACGCCCCCATACCCACCTCCCCCTCCCCTTCTCCTCCCCACAGTTCACCACTCGCCATGGCCCTAGAGGTAAAGGAACCCGTGTGATGTAATTGGCCAGCTCTTCCCACCCACAAACAGGAAGCCATCTCTGTTGGCAGCACGATCAGGGCAAGGAACAACAACAAAGTCGTAGTGATTGCAGATCAACATCTGCAACGCCTTGCTGGCGATACCTCCAAACCCACCCAACATACAAAGCTCCCTGTCCCCAACTTCGCTTCGAGCAACTGGCCGATGTTGGATTGACCTGTATTTCATCATAGGGCAGCTACCCACCCCACATTCCCGCTTGTCGCGATTGCAAATCGCTGGGCAGATCTCGAGCAATCGAGAGATCATCCGGGGGGGGAGAGGGGGAGGCTAGATAGAAAATTACGAAACGCCCAAAGGGCTGAAGGTATGAGATCATGGGCACTTGGATGATCGGGTTGCATCGGCCGACGAAACAACAACAAACACACCCCGTGCTGCTGCTGCCCGTCAAACCGCGTCTGATGATACTGGGCCCAATCGGCATCCCATGTAGCCTACCTACGTGTTGGAGGGAGTGACATGCAATGTGGGAATAAGAAAAGGGGGCGCGAGATGTGAACAAACCAACGCGACCCCCCCCCCGGAACGGCAACTTGCAGCATTCTTACATCCTCACCGACATCATGTGCAGACCCCTCGCAGCGTGGCTTCGGGAAACAGCCCTTCACGTAGATTTGTGTCCGAAGGCTGAAAGTGGAAATAGGCAGAGAGGGGTGCCGCACGGGTTTCAAGCTAAGGAATAAACAAAAACAGAAGAGACGACGAGAAAACTAGCCCCTTGCCTGCCTGCGCACTGCTACTAGGGAATTAGCAGTAGCTGTCATCTCACCCTCTGCGCATCCTCGGCATTGATCTCCTCCCAGCTCTTCGAATTCCATCGCATAGGCGAGGCATTTCGTGGGAGGGGAAAATGCGAACTCCAGCGTGACCACAGCCATCGGCTCCCCCTCACTTACTAAGACTGTCATCAGATCTGAAGAAAAGTTGGCCAACCAAAAAATTGAGCCAGTCAGGATAGATGCTTATTTTTTAGGCGGTCTGCTGAGCAAGCAACTCGCTCGCTCAACAAATCTTAAGTAACAACCTTAGCTAGCGGGTGCAGATATACTGCTTACCTCCTTAGGCACCTAGTATATTGTACAATATACACAAGCAAATGTCGCAATCATTACAGGATTAGGTTGGGTCATGACAGTCACTCAGTGCATAGATAGGAAGCAGCAATTGAAGAAGGTATTCATCTTTTATTCATGTTTTTCGAATCTTTTTGGGAATGCCGTTTTGCGAATGTTTTTATAGGAAAGCTTTTTTGCTTTTCGTCAAGTCGTTATCGCAGCTCGTGAATCTGTCTTTTTGTCTTTCCACCCCAACATTGTCCCCTCCCCGATTCACTAGATTCTCCGCTTTCGGCCCCTCCAGAACAGTTGATGAGAAAACATGACCAGTCTAAAGCAGACCTGGCGCACAAGAAAAAAGTCATTGAAAACCCTGACCAGATCCGCACAGGGTTGCCCCTAGTGTCTTATTGACCGCCCGTTTTCCTGTTTTCCGCAGAGCACATCCGATATGTGCTTCAGTAGTGTAAATGCGTCATGAAGAAACAAGTTTCTTTTGAAAGAAAAAAAAAGAAATTAAAAAATAAAACCCAGACAAATGCTAAACCAGTTTTCAGCGACCATGCTGAGCAAACCAAAAGTGGTATCATTGTAACTCATAACGCCGCCCATGAACGTGAATGCCGAAATGAAAAAAGAAAACAGACATTATGAATAGGTAGAACAACTTGCATAATACCTGACGGCAGGTAGCAAGTGAAGTAAAAAAAATGTAATTCGCTTGTAAGAACCAACGCCTGGCTATGGCATGATAATGTGACGCAAAATTATGTAACGAAGTATACAGAAGGATGTTTACCAGCCCTTGGAGTGGTATCCGTCAAAGGTCTCCTTGACGAAGTACTGATTCCAGCTGCTAGCATTGACATCTTCAGCCTTCTTCATGCAAGACTTCTCAGGGAATTGCTTCAGGTTGGCCACATCGTGTGAGGTGTGGCGTCTCTTGAGAACTGCATTGGCTGTTGAAGACTTTTGAGATCGCTCCCACAGGAGGTGGCGGCGGAGAGACTCGGTCAACTCTGTAGCAAGCATATTGCGACGAGTTGTTCGAGGAGAAAGAGCGCCTTGACCTTGGCCGTGAGCGACGGTGGGGATAGGCTGTGCGCTTGATCGAGGAATCTCCCGGATAGGCTTCAAGGGGGGCTGGCGGTTGCCCTTCATCATGAGGGGAGCATCGTCAGAGTCGTTAGGAGAGACAGCAAAGGCAGGCCCATTGCGATTGCGCGACTGCGGGATAGCGGATGTTGACTGTGAAGCATGGTTGCTGAGGGCCTTTGCGCGGTCTTCAGTCTGTGTGAGCATCAGGGTGATGAGGGATCTCCGGGAGGTGAGGTTGACCTTAGAGTCAACACGCTGGAAGTACTTGTCATCAACGCTAGACTTGCCACTGTCCTCAATCGAGTCCTCCCAGTCGGAGGAATCATCCTCGTCGTCAATTGCGCTCTCATCAATATAGTCACCCTCAGAGTCGGAGTCGATAGCATTGTCAGGATCAACAGTGTGCATGATGACATGGTTGCTGAAGGAAGCTTGCTTCTTCTGTGTGGTCAACCTGTTTCGTGGAGAGAGAGCGCTCTTAAGAGAACCTTCTTCTTCCGATGAGCCACCCAGCTTGAACATGCTCTTCTTCAGGTTGCCGGCAGGAGCAGGCTTGCATGCCTCGGGACTGTGGCCTTGTTCACTTGAAGAGTATGAAGCGCCGAGCATGAATGTGGTGGGCGTCTTCCGTGACTGAACGGCCTTGGATGCCACGCCATTGATGAGAGGGGCCTCGGCACGGGCGAGTGAAGGCTGGCTGGTGCGAGGCAGAGAAGCCTGGGAAGGGGAGAAGCCACGAACGACGTTGGTGCGTGACTGCATATGCGGGGAGGGGAGTGATACTTGTGAGTTGGTATCGGTGTTCTTGGAGCTTGCTTCAGTAGTGGTTGATCCAGATCGCTGGATAGCGGCGTGTGAGGGTGCCTCCATGGCCTCTTTTGTGGGAAGGATTGGTGCGGCGTTGGAGGGCGCGGAGAGAGGAGCCTTGTCCTTGACGATGGAGACAATCATCTTCTCAAAGTCGTCGGAGCTAATGTGTCGGTCACGCTTGCTGCGGCTAGTGGCAGCTGAATCCTGGCGGAGGATCCGGGGACGAGCAATCTCGAGGGGGGCTGAGACTGAGGTGAACTCGACAGTCTCGTCGGCGTCTGCGACGGAATCGACGCTTCCCGAAAGCTGAGGAAGGTCGCAAAGTTGTGATGCGGAAGGGATGGCCTTTGGTGCTGTCTGCGACTCGGTGGCGTCGGCGTTCTTCTGCTCGTTCTCAATGAGCTGCTCCTTTTGCCACAGGCGCCAGCTGAGGTTCTCAAGTCTTCGGCCTTGTTCTACAGAGTCTGCACAACGAGAGAAGACTGCATACATCCTTAGGTTAGCGGTGACTCCAGGGACCGACCGGGGCGGGCTGTTTGGTAACGTACCAGTCCACATGCTGTAGAGGTTAGCAGGATTGGTGTCAACCTTGTGGATGACGTTGGCATCCACGGTGAGGACGTGAGTATCTAAACGGTGCGGCATCACTGCCCGGAAGAGATACTGGGGGTCGTGTTCAGCTCGGGGCGGGTTCTTAAAAGGTGGCTCAAGAGTCGGCAGATGAAGTGTCGAAAGATTCCAATCGGCACCACAAAGCGCGGGAGAGTTGGGAATGTCGTCCAATCGTTCAAGAAGTCGCAATCGAGCGTTTTGAGGGGGTTGTGGACAAAGAAGTGCAGTTCGTGGTAGTCTTGCGGATTCACAACGAGGTAGGTTAAGGTATGCAAGGATACGTAATGTACGTGATGTAATGTATGGCGCCGAGGGGATGATGACCTAGCGTACTGCTGACCTGCTGGCGCTTTTCAGTGGACTTGGTGATATTGCGAATTGCTGGTGTCGTCCAGATCAAGTCGATGTTGTATGAGTCTCATGCATCTGAGAGATGGAGAAGGGAACACTGCGTACAAGTCTGGGGAAGGGATATAACTTATTAGTTTGGGAGGAGACAAGAGGGAGTGGGCTTGGTTGGGGGTGAAGAGTAGAGTCGCGGTGTGTGCTCTGGAAGGACCTCGTAAGGAAGGGCCCCAGCAGACGCATCCATCTTGGGGCGTGGGGCGTGAGGGAGGGGCGTATTAAGATACAAAGTACATGGACGGAGGTATCGCGGCGAATGACCGGGGTCAGTGCGCTTAGGGATGAAGGGGGGGTGGCTGCCAGAAACGGTACTCGATGAAGGCTGCGCCGTACTGCCAAGTCGCAAGTACCGATGGCTCGGGGGAGGCAGGGGCAAGGTCCGGCAAGGTAGAGGAGCGCTGCAATAGATGGGCAGGGGTAACAAAACAGACCTCTGGATCGGGGAACCACCCGGGTGCCTCTTTCCAGTATCGCGCTTGACCTGTTGGGGCAATAAGCCTGAGTCAAAGAGCGGGAGACCCTGATGCGGATTAGCCCTTGAGAGTTGGGTTTAATCCTATTTGGGAACTATTTTATGTCCTAAAAGGGTCATCAGCCTTGCCCGACTCATGTGACCGTCTGGGGGTACGTACTTGGTGTGTCGAACGGTTTGCTGCTCCGTTTTGAGGACGGTCTGGCGCGGCTCCGTCCAACCTGCCGGAATCGTCTCGACTCACCATCCCTGGGCCATTCGCCCGCGCCATCAGGCCCAGGTCCTCCTCCCCATTGTTTGCGGGTTCTGGAATCGACTCAACTACACACGCAAGCCTGTCCTTGCCATTGATGTGAGGCTAGGTGATAGTGGATGCGATGTCATTGGATTTCCACAGAAGCACCGAACGGTTTGTGCTGTGATGCCTTCTGACCAACTCCCTTCGCCCCAGCTCTCACTCCACTGCTCTCTCGCGAGGCATGCAATACGTACTCTCGGTTATTGGCATCATCACATGGTATGAAGCGTGAGTCGCTTGGAGATGCCCATGGGCCCTTGTTCAGCTACCTGCGCTTATCCATCCAGCCATCAAATCACCACTCGCGCGTTCCTCACATCACTACCTAGCCTGGCAGGCTGTCAGCCATGGGAGTCCTGCGGTCACTCTATCACCAGACATCAGAATGAGTAATGGCGAATAACCACCTATCAACGCAGGCATATCGCTTCGCACCAATTCCATTGGCCAGGGCCGTTGGGCGAATGGGGGGAGCCCAGATGCGATCCCCGCTTCTGGCCCATGGCTGGCCCTCGGGTTACGCTTGGCCGAGCTCAAGCATCAGTTGGTGCTCTCCGAAGTCGAGCCCTGTGCTCTCATATTCATTTGCACCCATGTGACCAGCCTTCAGAAACGCCCCATCCGGGCCATCCCAGTAATGCCTGTGGCGCTCCAGGCATCCAGGCTCCAGCATTGTAGTGTGGTCAGGTACCGTAGAATGGCTCGCTCTCTAGTGTGCTGTCAGCACCCACGTCCCGTGCACCTGAACCAGAAACCTTGGGATTGGCAGCAAGTGTTGCCCCTACGGATCCTCGAGGCGTTGGTCGTCAGAGAGGGACCGTGCAAGTCCCAATCGTCCGCATTCGGTCTGCAGCGCTATGGCATCACGGGGCAATACAAGCCAGACCCATTGATGTAATGACAAATGCAAGGCAAGACATGTGCCCGGGGTAACGTTCGTTAACCACTTGACAGCCCGCAGATATGGCCTCATATCAAACCCTTTGGGTGTCCAGCACAAAGGAAAGGGTCTGCGACATGATACACGGAACCACGAGGTCACGTTTCCTTTGTTCCCCAGTCCGATTTGCCGCGCCCCAGCTCAATCACAGGTGAGAGCCTCTCAGCGAGGTGGACCGCGACCCTAAGGCGTATTTTCCTTCTTGGAGGGTCCTTTTTAGCCCCCCCATTCAGGTCAGCAGGACACTGCCCCAGAAACAGCGCATCATAGTAGCTGCCAGCACATCGATTAGTGTACACATGACTGACTTTATTTTTGTAGGGCTTTCTAGCTGCCTCTCCCTCCCTCTTACCCTCGAATATGTGAGTACCTTTGGCAGAGCTGAGTCTCTTGAGGCCCTGTTGCCACATGCCATATCAAACCGCGATGACATAAATCAATTTCTCATTCCCAATGACTCGATGCCGTTATCGAAGTCTGGCTGGCCCTTGGTATTTGCTTGTTACAGTTCCAAAACCAACCCATAACACGGAAAACGGAGATTGGAAATTCAACCTTCAACAACCGTTTTCTTCAACTCCACTCCTCGATTAAATCCCCCGGTTTATTTGCTCCTCACGATAGTTTTTCTTTTCTTTTGTTGACCCTTCACTTTTGCCTCTACGGCATTCTAAGATTGCGGCAGGGCCTCCCTGCTTGTCAAAGGTGCCCGATGCGATATTCTGGTTTGGACCGTCAATATTTGGGGCCGGGCAGACCGATTTCCTGTTTAAGATGGCCCATGGGCAATCGGAATGTGCATACGAACATCTTCGCCGAGCCCAATTGCATGGGTAACTGGCAAGGACGACCCAATGCGCCGGCTGGCAAGGGCCCCTAGATGGAGCGGAATATTCAGGACACCAGAATGCTCTACATACGCACGAGTCAATCCGGCTACCCACTGGCAATTTACCATGGCGAGCCTATCGTTGCAGGCCCGGCAACCCAGGTTGGCGGGCCCGCGGAAGTGGCCCGGTACTATAAACATATTATGAAAATGATTATGCGCAGGGAGGCATCATGATACTGGCCTAGCCCCGGACCTGGGAACAAGATAAATGGCCCTCTGAAACAAGAGCACGGAGCCTCTTCATTATGTCGCCCATGGCAGTAATGTTATATTTCATTGCGTCGGGCAGAGGCGAAACCGGGGGTTTGATGACGATATTTTAGCGATATGCCTGACAGCTCCCATGGAAAACTCGACAGCCAACAGTGCCTTGCTCTCAGGGCACGATGAGGCAAGCGGTTGGTACTACATCCCTGAACTCGCTTCTTATTTCCGGCCACCTGGATTCCCGATGGCCAGGAGTGAAGAACGTGACTCCAGAATGGGTCGCTTCCCGTAGCGATCGAGAGCGGATGAACCGGCTGGCCTGATATCGCTAAGCTCCTCCCTTGCTTGCTTCGTGCTTTTGTTTTTCCTATGTTTTTCCTTCTTTCCCTTTTCAGCTCTCATCTTCCCTCGCGTCCTTGTAACCATGTTTGCCGGCAACCATGCCCGTTGGGTGCATCCATGAGGTTGGTATCACGCATACCTGTGCCCCTAATTAAGGGACAGGATAATTACGTAGGTGCTTTTTTGGTGTTTGCTTGCTTTTTGGCAGCGGGTTTAAGTGGGGCTCCGCACACTCAAACGCCCTGCCCGGGATATGCAAACGGGGAAAGCCAAACGCCACAGTCATTGTTTTGTGGCCCACCCATTCACACAGCTGTCCGGTGCGGCTGACCACGCGGATTGAAATCGGCCAGTAGGTGCTGGCCAATGTGCATAGTACGTAGGCGGGTGGCGTATGTAATCACATCAGTCTGTCCAGCGCCGCAGTAAGCGACAGTGTTGGCTTCCCTTGCGAAGCGAAAGCGTCCTTACTAAATGACATCCATGGATATCAATCTAATCCCACTCCACGATCGATAGAGGCTAGCGAGGACAGAAGAAAGTGGTGTCGTCCGCTGCTAAGTCACGCACTCATCCCTCTTTGCTTTGTTTGCAGATGCTGCCCATCATCCCAGGTATTCTCCCCAACACGAACAATACCTGTGCTTCGGCCAACCTTTTCTTGCCTGCCACAACATCATCCATTTTGTCAGCATCCAGCCAGCCAGTAGCACTCTGAGGGTGCGATGGACTAGCAAGATGTCCACCAGGGGGACCAGACTCAGAGTCAGATCCCCCAGTTCCAAGGTCTAACTAACCTCCTTGGTGGCGGTCGCAGACAGCTTCCCGCCGCGCCGCTGCCACGCTAGTGACGCCCTAAAAGTGTCCCGTGAATGATTTTCTTTTTCTCCCCTTCCTTTGTTGTCGCAAGGTATGATTTCGTTTCTTTTTAGAGTTGTCATGAGAAAAGATGATAGATCAACTACCACCTTGTCTTGGTCCCACTTCGGTTTGATTTTTTATGAATTTCACAGATGTCTCTATTTGGATGTTCATAGCGCCTTTCAGGGTTCGCTTTATTCTCTCATCAGCTAGTTGCCCGACTAATGCGATGCGAGTATTGCCCTCCTCTTCATGCGCATACGTAGATCATATTGGTCTGTCACATCTCATCTCGTAACACCGTAATTCAGTCAACCTGCCGCCAAGTGTATGTATCGTCGCATCCTATGCCTTCCGGTTCCAGCTGGGATCAGCCACCCCTGGCCTGTCCAGGTAGGTTTTTTTCACGATGTCCCCTTCCCGCATCCCCTAGCGGTTTTTCTGTTACCAAGGCTCTGGTCGGCGGGACGCCAACGACCGTCTGGGCATGGGCTGGTTGGACAACCCCGGCCCAAAGGAGGGGAGGCGACCTCACGATGCCTCAAGCAGAAGCAGCCCGCGCGGTTTGCTACCCCGTGTGGTCTCACTGCAGCCAGCCCGCGGCTTGACGCTTTTG